GGCCCCCCCCCCCCCCCCCCCGCCCTATCGGTAAATGGTCTAACTACTACGGCATGCGTTTACATGACAATACCGCCACGGCCACCTCCTTTGTGAATCTGCTGTTCGTGGCTGACGACGGCAGACGGGGAAGCTTTCCGACTACGTTGAACGTCGTGTGCTAGCGACGGTGCTGGGTCTGGTGAGCGTCTACGGGCAGCGGTGGCCCAGCACGCAAGAGGTGCGCCCGCCGTGCGGCCAGCGATCGGGCCGCTTTTGGTCTCGCATAAAGCAGAAGGAACGCATCCTCATTCCTAGTGTATGATGGAAATCTCGTTACCAAGGCCGGTGTTTTAAACCCCTTGTTCACTGTTATAGCTTTTCGTTTCAACCTGATAAGTTCGTTTCCAAGCGCTTCCTACAGATGGGCTATATCTCTATATCTCTTAAGCGCGATACGGATCCGAAGGGAGTTTACTCACAACCCCCCCCCTCCCCCCACCCTTGTCCTAACAGCAAGACGAGGAGATTCTCTATGGACGGCAAGTGCCCCCCAGCTACCGAGAGAAGCTGAGCTTACCGCCGCCATGGCAAGACAGGGTCCTGCCGGAGGTGCCTGTGGGCCACCTTGAGACCCGGGAGGTGGCCTGGTGCGTTGCGTGGTTCTGTTTAGTGCGCGTTGCGGTAGAGGCCCTTCGATTGGGCAGGCGGGGTGTACCGAGCGCGCGGTTCTTAGTACCACAGCAGGCTTGTTTTGTTGTTGAGGGCTCTAGGAAGTCCTTCGGTGTGCCCCCTGTAAGGGAACCCCCTCCACGATATCGTACAATGTAGATGTCGTAGATCTTGTGCAGATGCTCCTAGCTGTTCCTTTTCGACCATAACAGCTATAAGTCGACTTTCACGAATGTCATTTGGTTTTTGCCAAGACCGTTGCTGTCATGGCTTTTGTATTATGCTTATACCCAAAAATGCATTGAAACGGCGTGTGTTCTGCCTTGCACAATATCGATACATTTCTATGCATGTCTTCTTAGTTTTCCCAAGTTTTTTTCCTTTTTTTGAGGTCGACTCGCCGTTTCCGCACCTAATACAACACACGCCGGCGGTGTGGCCTTTGCGCGCTCCCCTCCCTCTCGCTCTGTTTGCCCGTGGCAGGGCAAACGCTTTGCAGGCAAGGGGGTCGGACACGAAGGAGGGGTGCGGGGAGAAGGAGGTTCGCGACCACGGCAACGAGGGTGAGCACCAAGGCAGGAAGAAAGACGGGGTGGTCGGGGCGCAAGACGTCGAGGAGGCCGAGGACGAGCAGGAGGGTGAAGATGGAGGCGATGATGACGATGACGTCCTGCGCGTAAATCCGGAGCTGAGCTGGGAAATGTCGCAGGCGGTTGCGTTCCGCTATGCGAAGAAGAGAACGCTCAGCGACGTGTCGCTCATCGCGACGGCCGAGCTTAGAGATATGGGGCTTGTGGAGGGGATGCTGGTGAGTGTGACGGAGGAGGGGCGGGAGCTAAAAAGGGTGCACATTGTGGCGGCACGACATCGACCAATGTGGCAGGATGAAGAGAGGAAGCTCGAATGGAGTTTCGCGTTGTGTCGGTGATAGTCTGTAGGCTTTGCGGCAAGATTTTCGCACGGTGCTGACTGCGGTGTGTGTTGGTTGGCAACATAGCAACACGACGGCAGTTTGGACTCTGTTTCATGACTGCCACGGCGGCACGCACGTTGAGAGACTGTACGGGGAATTCGCCATACGACTGTTGGCGAACTGTGCGGCATAGTGCCAGCAAACTACCGCGCTACACAAATTCTCAGTGAAGCCGCCGCCGCGACGTGCGCGGCCTCCCCACTCCTGCTATCACCGCAGGGGGAGTGCCAATTCCTTGTTCCTTTTCTACTCATCATTGCTCTCCGGCACAATACTTCGAAGGTCTGATTTGTCCCTGCTACAATACGGTGCATGTGCTCGGTGCTTTCCGATGTTGTACCCTCCTCTTCTTCCTTTTCGGCAGGAGAACGCCAAAATCGACGTCCGGTCCTTCGCCAATGGAGGACTGGAAGGACGTTACCCCGTCGTGGACGATGGCGAGCTGCCTCTCCAAGAGTAACAAAAGAGGCAGCGTGGCGCTTGTTGGAGGTCCTGCGCCCTTTGTTGGCGACACAGTGCACCGCGGTTCGAGGAATTTCGCTCGTGTGGTCGATGGGATAGATGCGTTCAATCAAAACCCCGCCAGCGCGCACGATGAAAAGCATGAAAGACAGAGAGAAGGCTTTTGCCGGCATGTTGTCTTTCCGTCGAAAGAGACGGGGGCTCGCGGTGTAGCTGCTTGAGAAGCGGCAGCGACAGCATGGAGCCCACCGGCCGGCCAACACACACGTGTTTTGCCTCAGCTCGTCGCTGCCAAATTGTCACCTGAAATGAGGCTAGGGATTTCCACGTGCAATGAACGGCTACCCCGGCGAACAACCAAAAATACTTCGGACAAGGAGGTGTTAAGGTCCGGTCCCTCATTTCAGCTCATTTCAGCTCAGCTTGGTTTCCCACTTGGGGCTGTAATGCGTGAAAGATGGTGTCGCATGCATGTCGGCTTCCGGACGGCGATCTCGGGTGTTCGTCAAGGGCCAGCCACAAAACTAGCGACGGCGAGGTGGACTACCTCCTCGAAAGAAAAACGTTCGTCATTTGAGTATCCACCACAAGTATTGTAACCCCAGCCCTAACACGAACACGAGCACTGAAGGGGGGAACCAACATGCGGCAGCCCAGACGCGAACACGCCCACCGAAAGTACACTGCTAATAACGCATCATGCGCATGAACTTTTCTCCCCTCTCCGGTCTCATCCTACTCTTCTTGCAGCGTGGTGCTTGTTGAATATAGAGGATCCCCCCCCAAGATTGACGAGTTGTTGCAGCTGCAGAGGCTGGACTTGTGTCGGAATGTCATCTTTTGGCAAGCTGCCAGACACAGTTGATTGGCAAGCTTTTCAACGGGATATGGATATTTGGCAGCCTGTTCTGTGGTCTTGCACGGATTCTTTCGAAGCAGTGTGCTGCTTTGCGTCTGCCGCCGTGCTTGTGTGCGGAGGTTGTTCTGACACATAGAAGAGCGATATATTTATATTGCTTGCAAGGAGAGCCCTGCCTTTCTGAATGAACGCATTTGTTCGGAGGATGGAACCTGATCCAAACCCTCCCTCTTGTTGTCGAAAATCACCTCGCAACTCCTTTACTGTAGTCCCTGTCCCCCCATCGCGTGCCGAATTTCACGCCCACAAGACATGAGTCTAAGCTTTTCGTTCTTCCATGACCTCTGGCCCATTCGCCACTGATTCAAGCTCAGAATACTTCGCACATGCGAGCCTGACTCGAGGCACCCTCACGAAACTATTTGACTCGCTGTTTTTCTCCGAGGCAACCTTGAGAAAGCGGAAGGGCGAAGAACAAGTGACTCAGGCACACGAGGACGAACCGCACTCAATCGGGGTCGTGGTACGACATATATGTATATGTAATGGGGAAGAGTCTCTACGCGTCTTCGGAACCCATACTCTTTGAAGCGTAGACTTACGTATTGCTCGCAGAACCGCAGAATGAAGTCACTCACTCATACATACTACAGTAGTATTGGGTTGAGTGTAAAATTATCGTTCTTGTAAGAGTGCTGCTGTAGATGTAGCACCCCCCCCCTCTTCCCCTCGGTGTCAACGTTTCTAACACAGTAGTCATCCCAGAACACTTCCTGACGGAGTGTCTTCAGAGGAATACATCAAACCTCATCGCGGGGATCTAGAGTTACAAATTCGATTGAGCCTATGGGTTTCGGCGAGACGGGCATTCGCAATGGTGGACTGTACGGAGCCTCTCCTTTTGTCTCTCTCTATCCGGGCTTGAGCATCAGCCGCGCACAAGCGCATTTGGTCGTCCCTTGTGGCGGAAAGTTCGGTCGCAACCTGTCCTCGCTCCGCGACCTCGGCTTCGCTGATCTGATCGACAAGGAGGAGGACAGCGAAAAAGACAGAGATTCGAGACCCTTCGGTGTCGGGTGCATATCGACAAGTAAACGGTGGACCTGGCAATAACTCGAGGACAGTTTACCTATATTTTACACAGCATAAAGTCGATATAGCCCACGGGTTGACTTCGTCAAGACCCCACATAACTGGTAGAGCACCCGCTATTCGGCTCTACTACAGTATCCGAAAAACAACTACATCTCTCTGTTTGATCATGTTATTGTATCGATTCTCTCTCATGTTCTCTCTCGACGGGTCAACGTACGAGGCACGGTATCGTGCCCTTGTCAGTTTGCTTCACACCGCTCTGCTTACTAGGAGGAATCGAAGCACGCAATAAAGAACACAAAAGGCGGGCACCTATGTGCTGTAGCCCGAGGTGATATCTCTTCGGCCTCAAGATACCAAGCGCAGCTCGTTTGTACCTCGAACAACGGCAAGACACAAGACAAAGCGAAAAGAACCCGTCCAACCCTGCTCGCTCCCGGAATGAATCGTGAGATAGGGGGAAACAGCAACGCTACACGGTGCTTTTACCTTGTGATACGCGTCCGGCAGTCCGTTCTTCTTCGCCCTGAAGAACACGCGTAGCACGTGCGGCTCGAGGTACGGCCGCCAGACGCCCTCCCCCACGCGAGCTCGCACGCCCTCTACGAACTCCTTTGCCGAGGCACGGCCCGTGAGGTACAGCCCCGCCTTCTGGTCCCACTCTTCCGTGGCGTGGTCGTGGAACATGCGCTGGGCGCGTACCCATTCCAAGACCTGGCACAAGCATTTGATCGATGGGTGCTTCACTTAGACATGAAGGCCACGAAAAAATAATGGCGTTCGTCAGCTGCGGTCTCGAAGACACCAACAAGGTTCGGGGGGAATACCTGCTGTTGCACTTGCCATGAGGTTCTCGTCCAAAAACAAACACGCGGGTAGGCGTCAACCAGAACGGGTAGTCGACCATTCGCATCTGTATGTAGCCTTGGACGTGGAGCAGGGGATGGGTGCCAATCACGCGCTTGGGGCCGGTGATTCAATACGAAATACCCCCCCCCTCGCTGTCGCCATCACGATCCATGCCACAACCTCAGCACTGTAGCACGTCAACAAAACAGTTTTTCCCCAGCACATTCTAAATCCTCTCCTGCCTCGCTGTAAGTGCTCGGGTCGCATCATCTACGAAGGCCGAGAAAACAAGCGCGCCGCACACACACACCTCGTTGCTCGTGTACCCTGCAGGACGGGTGGCGTGTGCCTCGAGTCCGAAGCGAAGGTGCCACTTGTCCGGCAGCACCGGGAGAGGGTTCTGCTCAAGGTTGAGGTCCTTCACGTTCTTCTCCAGCTCAACCATTTCCAGGGGGAGTGACCTGGTCGGTGCATGACGGCGCAGTTACGCAGTGCCAGCTTTCAATTACTATTGTTGTGGTCATTACGCATCGTAAGGCGTCGCACGGGTGCATTGAGTCTGAACAGACACAGGCAGGAGGAGTAGCACCTGCTTTACAGGTTCGCTATTTTCTGTTTACCAATCTTGCGTGAGTGAAGAGGGTGCAAATCAGGACTTCCTGACGCCAGAACAACACACATGCAACGGTAAAGGGATCAAGACGGACTATTACGTGCAGCCACCGAGCATGTCCTCCAGGCGTGGTAAAATGATTATATCCACTGCCTTTACCATTTATTTCTCATTGTCATCATCACCAACAAATGCCTTTTTGCTCACTTAAGCAGGTTGTGCCTGAGGTGCAGCTTAGTAAGCGTCGTTAGGGCCCCGATCTCCCTTGGCAGAGTGCCGATGATGTTGGACGTCAGGTCAAGCCGTAGCAAGTTCTTCATGCCGCACAGAAGCATCGGCATGTCCTTGAAACGGTTGCAGCTCAGGTCCAGGTCCGTTAGACTCGTGAGGAACGTCAAGTTCTGCGGAAGGTTTCCGAGAGCGTTCTTTGACGCGTTGAGAGTTTCCAGATCCTGGCCGAACGTGAACGGGTGGGGGACAACGTCTTCCGGTGACGGTGGAATATGGTACTCCTGGTGTCGTTCGGCACCACTCCGTTTGGTATCGACAAGAAGAGCCGTGATATCATCACGTGCCGCGAGACGCGAAGCATCCGGAAAACTCAGAACGTGCCGCCGCGTGAACATCTCTCCACAGAAACCGCAGAGCCAGCGCGATTGCAACAGAGATGTTCCTCTTCGTGCCCTCGCTCCTCCCGTCCAACCCCCACCCGGTTTGTCTCATCTCTACTATACGTCGCCAGTGCCGCCCACCACGCCCAGTGCTGAACGTGTCACTACAATAGTGTAACCTCCCCCAGGTGCTCTTCGAACTTACCTCCAGAGCGCCTAATGATGGCGGCAAGCTTCCGATGTTGTTGCTCGAGATGTCCAGGTGTGTTAGGCGGGTCAGCAGCCCGAGATGATCAGGGAGGCGGCGCTCAAGGCGGTTGTGCGCCAGGCCCAAGGTGTTGAGTTGCTTCAGAGCTCCAACTTCATCCGGGATTTTGGTGATGAGGTTGGACCGCAAGTTGATGTCGTGCAACCTGGTCGATTGGTCACCGCCGGTGGAGCCCCGTTCGATTGGCGGGCAACCGGCGACATGAGGTCATGGTGCGGGGGGGGAGGGGGGGGCTGTGATAGTGGTGGGGGGGAGGGCAGGGGGGATTACTTACATGCCTATACCGACAGGTGGTTCGTTTGTCATAAGCGTGAGGTCCTCTTGGTGGGTGCTGTCGTTTGGTTTCCATGCCGATCGATCGATCGTTTTGGGTACACAAGAGTACGCACTCGTTGTCTCATGAAGCTAGAGGTGAAACAAATGAACCCGTCGTATTATCAAGAGAAAAGGGTCCGTTATATTTTCAACCTCTACATGCACACGGCCCGGCACAAGCCTCGAACCAGCCGGTGACAAACATCATACTTGGTCAGCAGGCCAAATGTCGCGGGCAGTTCCTCGATGGCATTCCGACACAAATCCAGCCGCTGCAGCTGCAACAACTCGCCGATGTTGGGGGACACCCTCCCGATGCGATTTGTCTGGGTCAAACAAACACCACGGTGATGGAGAACAGAATGAGACCGGACAGGGGGAGAGAACTTCATAACGTGCATGATGTTTCGAGCTGGGTACTTTAGTTGCTTGTGTTCACGTCCGGGCTGCTGCTTTTTCGTTCGATCCTATACTCTTGGTATGGAGGGCTTGTAGTGGGGGCGTTGGGCAGGGCGTTAGAGCCCACGCCAGCCATTAGCTGGGGGCATTTTCATCACAAGCATCTGAGGTTGCCGCGAGCAGTCTCTCCTGACCTGCACCCTCGCTAAATACGTGCTATGTTTCTCTCCGCAAAGCCGTTCAGTAGGAGCAACATCGTGCCTCCCTTTGATGCGTCTCATGGTGGTGCTCGTATTGGATACGACAAATGCACACCACCCATTGAAGAAGATTATTATTCTGCTACGGTTGACACGATTCGTGGCCCTACCTGTGCCTCCAACTCGACCAAGCTGGTCATGCCACCCCAGGCCGCCGCCAATTCGACCACCGCATTCTCTCCAATCTTCAGAATCTGCCGATCGTCATGTGACGGGAGACTCCCGTGTAAGCACGGGCTTCAAACCGGACTTAAATATGGAGAAGAGCGACATATCTGGTTCTGGACACTCCAACAAGTAACAGGTGCCCCGATGGTAAGGGAAGCCATGTTACAGTATGCACGCTCTTTTGTTATCGCTAATTGATAAAAACAACCTACGCAGCACTGGAAAAAACTACAGCGAGGCATGTGCGTTTCACAGTTTCGTTTCGGGGAGGGCGGAAGCACGACACTGTCTAGCAAAATATGGACAAGGCAGAATAGAGCTGTCGCTATGTCGCGGGCGACGGGCGGGCGGTCTGTTCGTTCGAATCACCTGCAGGCTCTTGAGGGAGGACACCGTGGTGGGCAAGTCGGCGAGCTGGTTGCACGAGACGTCCAGACTCTGCCGTGTTCGCCGGCGCACGACCGAATGCGTGTCAGGATTGGGGCACTGCAAACATGAAATTAACTTAACCCTCGCGTGCTCCGTATGTGTCAACAAGTTGGTTGTCTTCCGATGACTTACGCTTATCTCTATGGCACGAGACCCACCCAAATGACGGTTTCAAGCGGGTATGCTGCAGGGGGGGGGGGGAGTGTGCGTACGGCAGACAAACCTGGAGGCTGAAGAGAAGTCCGAAGTCGAGGGGGAGGTGTCGCAAGCGGTTACTCGACAGGTCAAGTCGTGTCAGCGCCGTCGCGTACGAGAAATCGTTCGGGAGGGTCAACAACCTAAAAAAACGAATGGCAAGCACAGCAAGAGAGAAGAACACACATTGTCAGTAAATTGCAGAGGTGAAGCAAAGTAGAATAGAACAGCCTAGATCTACGCACGGGTGCGATCTCCCCGACCCCCAATCCAAGATTGAACTCCTTTTCAGCGGCCGGAATGAGGTACATGTGCGTACCTTTTGCACGTGGGGACGGTGTCAGCGGATCGCCACTCCTCTCCTGTATGTATGTATGCATGGTCACGGTTCACCCGGATGCCAGTTGCCAACCGTGCACTCAACCAAACACACAAAGTACAAGCCGCACCCTACCCCACCTTACACAACACGACACTATTGTATTGCTGCGTACGTACTGGTATCCGTAGAAGACCGAAACGAAAGCGGAAGACAGCCTGATACCGTATGTACCGGTGCCTCAAATGGGCACCACATCGTTCGTTGTCCTTGTCACTCCATAGCCACACTCGCCTTTAAATGCACGACCAGTCGCTGCATGGAAACTGTTTTTTTGTTTTTTTCAGGAACTGTTACGTACCAGCCAACGTTGCCGTTACCGGTGTGATTCCAACCAGCAACAACGGTACCTACACGTACGTGTGGTTCTATTCTGATCAATAGCATTGTCAACTAGCGTGTGAAGAAGACCGCGTGTGTGGGTATGTCTACACTGGGATCACCATTATCGTACCGGGGTCGGGGAGATGGTACCGGGGTGCGTGCATACAACACCTGTGTGTATTTCATCGGGGATGGCACCGGTCGGAGAGATCGCACCGGGGTGCCTTGAAAAAAACTAAACGAAAATTATTTAACTACATTTCCGCACCGGGGTCGGAGAGACGGCACCGGGGTGCGATAAAAACCCGATGAATATAGATTTTAAAAAACGATCGCACCCGGTGCCACCTCTCCGACTATTACGGTATTCACCTGTTGCTGCTGAGGTCGCACAGTTCGAGGGACACAAGCCCGTCCACGGAGGTTGGTAGGGTTTCCAAGTTGTTGGAGTGGGCACGAAGAGAGCGAAGGGCATGCATGCCGCCTAGCTCGTCGGGTAGCCGGCCTATCTCGTTCCTCCGAATCGACAGAATAGAGACAAGAGGTTCCCGCGAGGCGTGGTGGCAGCGAACGCAGCGGTGAGCACAGCACACCATACTGAAGGAGCAGCGTGAGTTTGCTCAGCCCGACTGAAAAAGCCTTTTTCGACCGAACCCGACTTCGCCACCAGCGTGCACGGCAGATGCCCGTGTAAAGTGTGGGGACAACGTTTATGTGTTTCTGTCCGCCGACGCCTCGGTGGTGAGAAATAAGACCAACCGTGCACTACTCCATTTAATCTATGGTTTACCGCAAGAAACTTTCTGGAAATTAATCTTGACATCGATTGCCTCACAGGCAATAAAATACGACGTAGAGCACGAGGGCAGGGGGGGGGGGTGTACTCATAGTCGTGCATGCCGTAGTCGTTAGACCATTGACCTCGCATCCCTACAAAGCCGGGACGGAGCATGCCGGGTTCTCACCGGACCAGGCTCTCACATCACCAAGCGCGAAGCACCGTGAGGTATTCGGCGAGTCGCATGAAGGGTGAGCTGCATCCTGCTAAGGGTGTTCGGCATCTTGTGCTTACTTCCTTGCGTACGGATGACAGCTGCGTATGCCTTAATTTATTTTCTGGTGCTTTCACTTCCAGATACAGTTATAAGCACTGTGTAGCTGCCTCGAGGATGCTTGACCAATTTAACACAACGTGGTGCGATCATCCCCCTTGCGCGGAGTGGGGGGGATGAAGGACGCGAATTCTCACTAGCAAACCCCGCCTCCCGAGGAGAAAGAGTCTTGCTTGGCGAAGCTCAGCAAGAAATCGCCGCATTGGCAGGCAAGCTACCAGTACCATCTCGGAACCGGAGACCCTCACTTGGAAATAAGAAGGTGCTGCAGCTTGCTCAGCTTTCCCAGCGCCGGTGGTAGCTCCCGAAGCTCGTTCCGAGAGAGGATTAGCACCTGGAGATGATCCAGGTTGGCTAGGTGCTCGTTGGCTATGAAGGAAAGCCTGAGATGAACGGGATGGAGGCCGCCCGGGGGGGGGGGCAAACAACGCACGTGACGTATCGCGGTGCGGCGGAAAGGACGCACCGGGGTTATTGCAACCATCAGTTAGCGAATATGGTACTGTTTTCTTCATATGTGTTTTCCGGAAAGGGGGAGCGGATCATCCAAAGTTCAGAATTGTTTTCACGCTATCTTTTGGTTGGGTTTGGACTGCGTGTGCTTGTCGGCACTTGCGCACCTAGCCCACCGGATGAGCAAGGGGACCTTTACCAAACAACTGGGAGTACCCCTCGGGGGCGAAAGCCCCCGAAGCGAAGTCCAAAAATGACTTATTTCTCACACACCCTAGCACACACATCAACTTCCCGGGTGAAACTGTAGCTGTGTTTGTCTGCCCACGAAAGAGGTCCTCTTCGGGATTCACGACTAAACCTTTCCGAGAAGAAGGATGGCCATCTCGGCCTGCCATGGCCTCAAGCCCTCGAACTAGAAAAACACAACTAAACCGCCCACCTAAAAAGAAAACATGAACGACAACGTTGTAGTTCTGTATCGCGTTCCTTATGGATCAAACCAAGGTTATCGTAAACTCTGGTAACTCATTGGTGTAGGGCGAAGGCAGCCTAAATACGGTTCTACATGTACTCTCCGAGTACGCTGCTATCGAATGCACATATGCATATGTCGCCAACGTGCTACGGACACAAACGTCAACCCCCGACCTAATTAATTGCAAACCGCTTGCCTGTTCTTGCTGATGTCGAGCTTTCTCAGAGACACCATTTCCGCCAAGAAATTTGGTGGCAGCTCAGCCAAGCGATTGTCCTGAAGGTCCAGCAGCACTAGATCGACCAACTTCCCCCGCCATTTCGGGTCTTGGTAGTACTCGGACGGGACCTTTGGCGGGAGAACACGAAGTAAGAACAGGGGGCGTGTGTCAGTACTGTATCGTCAGTTTCATCTGGTGTGCTCTGACACGACCGTATTTGGTACAGCCGCAGAAGAAGCACCCGGTAGTGTTCCACGTGAACTGGAACATTCGGGCTGAACCATGGCCCCGGATGAACTTCGTTTAATGCGACAACACGTGCGTCTACTCACACGGGGGGTGGATGGGTCGGTGGGTGACGGGTTTGGCCGAGAAAACGGGGCTGGTGAACCTTTTATTCTCAGTGATGTGGCAGCCAGGGCAATACGTTCTAAATACTTTCGGGTGACAGAGAGGGACATCCTGCCTGTCCCGGATTTCCGGTCCAGGCAACCGTTGTTTTATCATGTTGGAGCCCGTTATATTATATTCATACACAAAACGGTGCTTTCGATACGGTTGAGACAAGCCGTTTTCGGGCTTTACCTGCCGTAGGTTCCGGTGCGAGAGCCAAAGCTGATCATCTCCTCTAGCTCTTATTCCGGCGATCCGCTCCTTCTCTTGCTGGGCCACCCGCTGCTTGATCTGGGTCGTATCCCTGACGACCAACAGACAGACCGTGGCGTATTAACATCAGTTTTCCATCGAGAGCTTAGAAGCGTGGTCCATCAATGCTAGCACCACTGTCGCCTCACGAAACAGCAGTTAACCCATGGTGCAACGTGTACAGCGTAGTTGGTGTACAGGTCCCGTCAAATCGGGTTGTGCATCGCATCAACATGTAGCTCTTCGGCGACCCGGCGTAGTTTCCACGAAAGCGTTGCGCTGACGGCAGGTCGTGTACTTGGGGGTTCATCAAGACGGCGAGTGTGGATTATTTCTTCCTCTGTTGTACCTGTCTTTCTTCGCCGCGAGCTGCTGGTGAAGCTCGTTCTGCTTGACCTTCTGCTCCAGGCGCTGCCGTGATCTCTCTGCCTGCTCCCTCTTCATCATTAGCCGCCGCTGCCTCTTCTTCGTCGCGTCCTCGCTAGCGTCTAGCGGAGCACGAGGGAGCCGACGAGGGGACACCGCAGTTTCGAATAGACTCAGTCGACACGTGTTTGGGTGGGCTTTTGCGGCAGCCCTCTCACGCCGCCGGTCCTCTCACCACTCGCTCACCTACGAGCGTGTTCTTTCCTCCCTTCGTGGCCTTCATCTTCTTCTTCTCGTCCCGAAGCAAGCGAGCTCTCCTCCGGACGTTGTCGACTCTTCCGCGAACAGTCTGCTCACAGACGGCACGGTTGCGGTTGGCCACAAAACGATCGTCAGCTACAAACTAGTCTACCACGACGATGGAATATTCCGGACGCTCCGAGAATATATATATGTCTCTATAGCTAGGCGTAGAGAAAGTGGGGGGAGATAGATAAAGAGAGATGGAGAGAGAGAGAGAGAGACAGACAGACAGACAGACAGCCGTATATTTCACCCCTTAATGGTAGAAGGCACGGAAACTGCGAGCGATATGAAGAACTCTGTGCATAACGGTGCAACATCCAAACTGTTTCACCTTAAAGACCTCGGTCGTGGCTCTGTCCTCGTCCTCGACGGCTTGAGCCAGTATCCGCCTGTTGCGAGTAGACGACATGGGCCCGAACGCGGGTTTGCGACCCCTTGCCTTGATCTCCTGCTCCAAATTGACCATAGCTAGCCAGGCCTTTTGATGTCAGCGGCGAGACGAGGAGATTCGTAGGCTTTGGAGCTGAACGACACTTCGCAAATCAACAATTAACACGTTTTATGTACGCTAGCCACGACCTGGGATTCCAAATCCTAACTGAGTGTTGTACAGGATTCGCTTTGGGTCCATATGGTCGCCGAATATCGCTCAGCACACCTGCTTGAACTCCTCGTACTCAATCACCCCGCTCTTGTCAGTGTCGACCTTGTCGAATAGCTCCTTCGTCTGCTCCTCGTTGAGTTTCCCCCCGGCGATGACCTCGGCAGCTTCCTGCCGATCAGTGTTTTCAATCAGATGCAGCGGTCGCGGCAGCATCAGGGAAAGGCAAACCAGACGGATGGAATTGAAGTGATTGCGTTGTGTTGAAGGCATTCTGCCGAGTTTTTTTTACGACAATGGTACCCACAGACCACCTCTTGTGTCTTGGGAGGCACAGAGCTCCTGTGTGCACCTCCTTACCGCGCCATTCCAAGCGAGTTGCTTGAGTGATCACTTGCATGTGTTCTAAAGGAGGTACACAAAGATGGCGCGAGCGCGTAGCGTTGGCGGTTGGTTTTTCAAGACCGCAGCAGTATGTTCCCACAGGTTCTCATGCAACGATCGCAGTTCAAAGAATTTCCATCATCCACCCCCCTCGTCACCCCCTTCCTCTCCACCGCCCTGCACGCCCCCTTTTATCGTCCTACTTGCGTTACAGTCAAAGGCGGCACTGCGTAGTAGTGCTCCGTTTGTTCGCACCTTGAACTCTACCCAGGAGATATCGCCCCCACCATCGAGATCGAAGACGTTGAACGAGTCCAATGGGGTCAAGTACGAAGTCGTAGGCACCACGTCGTGCATCATGAGCGCTACCTCCAGCTCGGAAACCCCGATCATGCCCGTACCGCTCAAGTCGCAGGCCTTGAAGAGCTGTAGGGCTCTTCCCTCCATGATCACCAAGTTGAGCTCATCGAACGCCAGTTTGAAACCTGCGGAATTGGTTCACCGTTATGACATTCGGGTGAAAGGTGAAGTACATTATTGCGTATCAGGCACAACTTGAGGTGCACCGAAATCAACGCCGGCTTCGTTTTGGCCTCGTGTGTAGACATCGTGCCTTTTTTCACCTTCGAAGTCGATTCCTTGATCCTCCGGAATGGACATTGCTTCCCACGCCTTTCGCGCCGTTCGAGTGTATTTCCGCACTCCCTTGAGTAGATCGTCGTCGGTTTTGACCGTAGGTGCCGCTTTCGCGTACCTGGCAGCAGCAGCGAAAACCCCTCGTCGACACAGAGTTTCTTGCGATGCAGCAGCTTATGTTTCATCCTATCGTTCTTGCCACAAACATGTGGTGCGATACCAGAAAATCCCGTACTTCGCCAACAGTACCTGGTGACTCGATCTTTGTCCTCGGCAAGTCCGAGAACAACCTCCGAAGCCACGACGGGCCTTCTTTTCGGGACTATCCTCGCGTACGCGTAAATGATCGGTTCGTCCGTTTTAGGTTCGTCCGCCTTTCTCTTTGCGATCGCGATGCCCTTGTACCCGGTCGGGTTGGGAACCTGGAGCATACCCTGCGCGAAGGGTCCCAGGGGTGTTCCAGCCGCGTGAGGTGAAGTGATTATTGCTCGTCATTAGGCACGGCGCCGACGGTGTACTGCTGCGCAGCACGGGAGAGGGTGCCCGTACACGGGAGCACTTTCGATTGGCGCGAAGTCGATTGTCGATACAGCTTACGTTCTTTGCACGCAAGACTTTGTCAGAATGAACACGAACGCCAACAACAATTTCGATAACAAGTCAAAGTTACAAAAGCATCATTCTTGTAAGGAACCGCTCCACTGAACGTTCGCAGTCTATCGTCTAGGCACGGTAGTTCGAGCCCCAATCTAGGGCCGTTCGTCCGTTTATATGCTTTACGGGCTCGTACAAGCACCTGCTCAAAGTTTCCGAAGGTGTCACCAAAGCAGATGCACCCCTCCTTCCCGACTTCTAGTCGCAGCAAGAACGCTGTCTCCTCCAAGTCCGCCATTCTTGTCTTGGCTTTCTTTTTCGTGAGGAATACATACAGCCTCACACTGGCGTTCTGCTCTCTTTCCGCCCTCCTGAGCGCAGCCACACTCTCGTCACTCTCTTCGTCACCAGCCATCGCGATTTCTTGTGCTTCAACAGGTTTGAAGCGATTGACACGGGCAATGTCGGTGAAGCTAAGCTTGTACACGGATCGAAGCTGCCGCACCTCCACGCTCCCTGTTACGTAGTCTGCCGCCCGCAAACGGTCGCCCTCCTGGGGTTCGAGCAATGTGGACGGGATTTCAATGCACGAGTTTCAGATCTTGACTACGAAGGTGTTGCCTAACAATGGATTGGATAGAAGAGTCCAGAGGATATCGCCGCTCACCCGCAGCGGATGATCGTGTGCTTTTGAATCTTTCGGATCACGTTCATTCGTTCAAGTCGTCGTCCCTACATCACTGATGTACAGTAGATACGCACCATTTATGGAAAACGCACGATGGTCCGTAATTACCGCTCTCCATGGTTGACCACCCCAATGGCTCGTTTGTGCAATTTACCCAGGAGAGTGGCACATCAACATGGATCCGATCATCATGTCATCATACCTTCAGGTCGCCGTATTGCTTCGTTGCCCACAAACCACCTGGCTCGTCGGCCCTTTCTTTGGAGAGTAAAGGAGCCACATCACTAGCAAGAGCCATGAGGAAATCAGCGACCGCGAAGAGCGGAGGGATACTGTCACCGCTCGGCCCTCCGCACCGCTCGAAGCTCTCGCGAGAGAGACAGACAGAGAAGCGAGAGGGGTGGAAGAGAGCGTCCAGCGGCGTGACACATGTCCTGGTTCCGTTTCGCTTGCCCGATTCTCCCGCAAAACACCCACGGAACCCCCGAGACTGTCGGTTTAGAAGCACCGCAGCCGCAGCACCGCAGCCAGCTCACAGCCCACAGCCCGTGCCAGCTGTTGATCCACAGCTCCACAGCCTAGCACCTGGTACTACTGCAGCGCCCCCTCTGCGTGGCTTCAAAGGTTCATTCGCAGAGAGGGGCAAAGAAGGGTGCCATGATCCACACAAGATGCCTGGGAGGAGTGTTCCTGGTTTGCAGTGCCGTAAACGGTGGAGCTTTTCTGTTGAACCCTGCCGCACGACACGACGTCATCACGAGCGTGCAGCAGCAGCGCGATGCAAGAACAACAACAGCTGCTTTAGTAGAACGCACAGGCAGGTGCCGCTCTCGAGTGCCGTCACGGGTCTTGGCAACAGACGGCGATAGCAACGAAGCTGCGCTCGCTTCCGAAAACGTACGATATAGCACAGGGAAAGCTGTTGTTGGAGCAGCAGCAACAGCAGCAGCAGCCGCTGCTGTAGCGATTGTGTCACATCCAGCAGCTGCTGGCGCAGCAACCGATGTGTTAGGTGAGTGTTTGAGTACGGGCGGTTCGGGGCATGCAGTATCGCGGGGCGGGCACGACGCTGTAGGTTGCACAGATCTATTTTGGTTTCACTACAAGCAGTCGTTGACGACTCAAGCAGGGTCGATGATTGCTGTACAGCAGTAGTAAATAGGTGCAATGTACTTCGTGGGAACTTCCCTACCTCGTGTCCAAACCTCTGTCGAACGCTCTTGAAACGAGATAAAGGGTGATATATACGGTAGGCACGTCACAGAGGAACTCTTCCGTGTCATCCCGGACCGTAGCCCTTCAGTTAGAGGGACAAGGCGGTAGAGTGTTTAGTGAGCTACTGCGGGCGACGGTTTGTACAAGGGGTGACAAAAAATAACTCTAGTGCCGGTCCGTGCTCTCTGTCGGTACAATACGGCAGCAATACGGGCCCGGAGATGAGAAACGTCAAGATCGGGTCGAGACTCAGGTTCTTTTACTTCGTGGTCACTGTCGAGCATAGGGTGCTTCACGTTGTTATATTGAATTTAGTGTGAGGATCCACCGCTGACGTGTGTTTCTTAGTCCAATTTTCTTATCCTTCGTGAGAACGTGAGCCTCTGTGTCTCAACAAAATATTTCCAAACTGCGGGCCCGCATTACTGCTGAATGTATGCATTTGCCCACAGAGCTTCAGGCGGGCCTTGAGTCAAACCCCATGGCATCCTCATCAGCGCTGGCTAGTAGTGCCATCACTTAGCCGGTAATCCCAAAAAGCCTTCCGTTTTTCTAATGCCAGCAGCGGGAGCAGAAGTCGGAGCGGGAGCGGGGCTCCAGATTTCGGCGACAATATCCCAAGTGTTGGCGGATCCGGCAAGCGCTCTCGCCGCCAACCCGGAGTGGACGCGGTACGCTTTCATGTTTCCGGTGGGCATCTTGGTTGCGACGTGCGCCCAAACGGCCGGGATCGGTGGCGCAGCTCTCACGGCCCCGGTGTTTCTATTGGGGTTCCCGCTTTTGGGCCCAGATTATCCCCTGCACTCGGTGGCGGCAAGCGTGGCGACCGCAATACTGTGTGAAGCGTTCGGGTTTTCTTCAGGTGAGAAGGAGAGACAAACATTCGTAAACGGAGGTATGGGCTACATATCACGCATGCAGTTCGAAATCATTACATCTAGGTTGATGTGTGACATGTGGCTCCCCTCCCCCCCTTTTCTAACGGCTTCGCCATGATTTCCGAGCTTGGGCTGCAAGGAACGAGATTACGCTATGGCGTTGTCATTAGGAAATCGTCCACGACACAGTCGAATCCGCACCCTGGCTCACGACAGCCGGGCATGAGTTAATTACTTCACCGTGGTGTATGTTCAGTCTTGACTTTGTGGTGGTGCTTTGCACCCGACGTACACCACAGAAAATAAACGGCAATCCTAAACCCGTGCTCGGCTTCTGGTTCCGGCCCCAAAACAAGCCGAACAGCGGAAAGATAAACGTGTCCATGTAGGAGTTAACGCGTGCTGTGGTGTTCCTACCTTTCCGATGGTCGTTGTCATGTTTCGGCGGTTTTTCGCTTGTGAAAGGTAAAACCCTTTTCAGTGTTTTTCTCTAGACGCAAGGAACCCAACAAACGGCAAACGTTTTCCCGACATCGGTTGAAGAATGTCAGATTTATTGCTGAAACCGATACCACTGAAAGGGGCAACCTGTCCGTACAGCAAGCTGCATATTTCGAATCATACGTGACCCCAGTGCTGCTCGGGTGCTTGCGGGCAGGTTTGCTGGGCTACTTTCGGCGAGGCCTTATCGACCCAGGCTCCGCCCTGCCTTTCATCCTGGCGTCGATCCCGTCGTGCCTCCTGGGGGCTCTGATCGTGCCTTACGCCGACGAGCGAGTGCTCAAGGCCATCTACGCCGTGTTCATGCTGGGGCTGAGCGCCTACCTCTTGCTGGATGAGCAAGGGTGAATAACGGAGCGAGTGGGGCGGTGTGCGTGCTTGCAAGCACGAATGGGTTGATTTTGGTCACCACTTTGGTTCTTGCGTTGTTGCTGTGTCCCACGAGGACATGTTTACTACCTGTCTAGTCGTGTGTAGAGTGTCCTGCCGTCTGTGTCATTATTGGCAAATGAGACGACACTCAGGCATGTGTTGTGAATGGGGGTATGTGCGCCGCAAGCGCGTGGATGTTACGTTACTCATCAGCCACATTTTTCAGGGGGTTCATCTGGTAAGCATGCTACTTGTAACACAACATATAAATCGTGTGTTCTTCAGCGTCTTGCATGGTATTTTTTCACCTCCTCCTTACTCGCCCTACTGCATCCCGCGGGGATGCCACGTCGACCTTTTTGTCTCCCTTGGTCTCTCACGTGGTCTTATTTACAGCGATCATTGCGTGCACTCGGGGGTGGGCGTGGTTTACAATGTGTTTGGCTCATGGAATTTTTGTCCTGATGCTGCGCTCTCGTCTCTCTTCCATGGTGCGGGTCAGGTCTGAGTCCTTAGTCCCGGAGGAGTGCTCCGTGGAGGAACTGGAGAGCGGAGACATGAAGGCGATTTGCACGTCGGAGGGTACAGAGTACATTTACAGGGTGAGCGACGTAGCTGTTGTCGTTCGATCGTAGGTGTGAGTGGGGCATGGAACATGTGGAGTGATGTTGTTTGAGGAGCAGGTAGGCACAACGATAGGCGGAGAGGAAGGAGGATGAGAACGTCGTGAGGGGCGGGTCGATGTTGAGGATTACCGTATGCCATGGTTTGTGTCTTGGTGCCGTGGAACAAGCAGCAGGCCTCACTTTGCCGAGCGCTCGTATTTCAATTCACCGCACCGCACAACTAGCTTGCGTGAGTCCGACACTCGAGTAGTGTACAGTGTACAGACATGGACGACACCCCCATCAAAAGAGAGACTCTCCCCCCCCCTAAAAAAAAAATATAGCCGGTGCACCGCCGAAACCTCGAGAACGCCCCGGGGGCCGTCCGTTGTGTCTTTCAAATCGCCCCTCCATCGTACCTTGGAAAAGCCCCGGGGGGCTATTTTTCGCTCATTTTTCCTATCCCCCCGGGGGGAGGAGGTCACAGAACCGCTGTTTGTGTTCCCACAGCCTGTTTGTTGCCGGTTGTTGTTGATGAGGTTGTTGCTGATATTGACTGCTGTTGTCACTACTTACCTCATTCTTCCAAGTGAACACATATCCCTCAGATCCTACTCTTTATGTACGTGTGTCTGTTCTTCCTGAATCCCCACACCCTGACCTCCACACGGGAGTTTTTTTTTTGGTGGAAAGATGGCAGGATCCCCCCCCCCCCTACGTTTTGAACATGCCCTGGGCTTTATTTTTCATCTGCATTTTTCCGCCGTTCTCAAAGGGATATTAAGGGATGCGCACATAAGCATGTAACATTGCATGAAAGAAAGAAAACAGCGAAAAACATTTTTCGCTGGGATTGATCCCGCGACCTAGCCCTTGGCAGGGTTGAGCGGCACATTTGTATGGGTCGCCATCATCTACATCAACATGGAATATGGGCAGCAACCTCACCTTTGGAGCAGCATTTCCTTACGTGTTTAGAAGGCACGATCAGATACTGGGCCTGTGGACTGTTGCGGATTAGGGGTGTCCAGAAGATGAGGAGGCAAGAGGGAGAGGGAGAGAGAGAGAGAGGGAGAGAGAGAGACGGGCGGTGCTCCCATGAGATGCGCGCTTGCTTATGGTGAACTTAATGCAACAACAAACACAAAGATAAAGAAATACGTCCACCGCCAATAGCAACGATGTCTGTCTTGTCAAGTCAGAGATGGCACCCTGTCACCCAATTTTCTCGTGGCTGCTGCTTCGTGATGGAACTGGCCTTCGTGCGAACAGAAACCGGATTTCGGGACAGGGAGCGGGTTGTCGACAGCCTTCGGGGGCCTCATGACGGGGATGTTGGGTGTGGGGATTGGAGAGGTCGTCATACCGCAGCTGGTGAAGAAAAACGGCGTGCCCCTGCCTGTTGCAGCGGGGACGTCCATATTGGTGGTGTTCCTCAACGCCGTAGGTGAGTGACGGGAGGCGACGGAAGCTGTCGCTGGCGTGCACGGCACGATTCTCCGTATTCCATGTTCCTACCAGTGTTGTAGCTTGTCTCGCACTCCCGTCACGTCTTCAGCATTGGGGCCTAGTACAGCTTTCACCTCCTACTCCTACGGTAGTTCATGCCACCTGCCGTCGGTGCGACTTGCTTTTGTCCCGGTAGGCTTACGCTCGCCTAGGTGTTTGTTGCACCTTGCACCTGACCTCGGCGCACCCCAGAGCACCTTTTAGGTTTTCGGTTTCACCTATTCTCCAACCCTGGCTCATCTCGCGCTCCTACCTCTTGCATGAACCCTGCCCGACCCCCCACACCTCAACGTGTCCACGGCGCGTGATAATTCCACGGAAGCAGTGGCGGCCGGGACTCAGATCGGCGGAATCGTGTCTCGAGGGGGCGAGGACGTACCGTGGAACCTGATCGCCTTCATCGTGCCGGGCGTGGTTATCGGGGGACAGCTGGCTCCGAAGATGCAGGGCCGTTTGTCGCAGAGGACGATGGAGAAAGTCTTGGCAGGCGTATTTGGTGGGGTAGGCGTGACCTTTGCTGCGATATCAGTGAAAACGCTTTTGTCGTTAACTTCTGTATCCACCTAGTCTTTGGAAATATGCGTGATTATGGTTTTATGTGGGGTGGTTTAAATGGTGTTTTTCTTCCATAGACTATTCGTGGCCTCCCGTCGTAGGTTCCACCGCAACATCGTTGCCATCGCTGATAGAGTTCATTGTTGGTGTTACCTTTGTAATGGCTGATCGGGTTGTGGACGTAAAGGCTGTTGAGAAAATTCACTTTGTTGCCTAGCATTTGTGCGGCCGAGGGTTCAACGTATTTCGTAACCACTTGAACGTCGCCCGAAGATTCTCATGGCAATGGCTTGCTTTTTTTGTGCCGTTGCAGCGCCACCCACGCATTCCATTCAAGTACACACTAAAGGGTACATAAAACCCACAACCAACACCCAAACAACAGTCGACACCCCTCCACATTGGAACAGGACGAAGACGCCACCTCCTTGTCACATCACGACAAACATCTCACACACTAGACTTATACACTCCCCTAGATAGAAACACGAAGAACACGGCTTCAAACACCCGCGGCTCTAAATATTTGCACGGAGCGGAGCTCCGTCACTTCTCTGCGACAGGATTGGCATGTATAGTGACGTGCTTGATGATAATTTCGGTCAAGGGTCTCTCTTTTTTCCCCACGGGCGCTTTTTCGATCACGTCCAGCACATCAAGTCCGTCGATAACCTGCAGCCGAAACACAGGGTAGAGGCAGGGTCCACAGGCGGAGAGTGCAGGGAGGCAACTATAAGCCGTCGTGCACAAGCGCTAGCCACGCAATTTCACAACTGCGCACATGTGTGATAGCCTACATAGTCCAAACTGCTGCAAGCGCGTTAAGGGGAGGGCCGCCAAAGGATGAGCGTTCATGACCTATTATGCTGGAGACAGATTATTTTAATTTAATCCGAAATTCTCGTCGATATCTCTTCGATTTCCTACACGCCCTAGATCTAGTCTCCTCACCAAATTTCGACAAAAACAGAGTACTACAGTACCGCCTATATTCCAGAGCTAAATTATTACTCCCTTCCTTTCCAGTCCACACAACCGGGAGTCAAACATGGCGCTTGGGGTCTCTGAACGCTCTAAAAAGCTTTTTCCGGCCCCGCACCTTTCCAAACACGGTGTAGACGTTGTTGAGATGTGGTTGTCTTGTGTAGGTGATGAAGAACTGGCTCTTGTTGGTGTTGGGTCCCTTGCTTGCCATCGATACCTGCGTACGTTCGAGAACAGCAAAAAATCGAAATGGTGAGTCATGTGAGACAGAAGCCATGTCCAGCTGACGAAGACGGGCTGTCATCGTGAGCGCAATATTGTTTGTACCTGGTGGAGGCTGCAGCCCTTGGTACAAGCACTGTGTACGCCGTGATGGATTCGACCGAAATAATCGAACTGCCCGATCGTAACACGTGCCTGAATAGCTGTTGTTCGTGTGGTACGGCGTGCGTGAAACAAGTCGGCTTCGCCAATAGCCATGGCTCAGCTGTTTGAAAACTATCATTCCTCCAACTCCTGAATACAATAGCAGCTTCAAGTAAGACGTCAGCTAGCAGTGTGTCCAACACCCCCAAGCAAGAGTTATCGGTCGCTCTCACCATCCCTCTTCGGTCGTGCTTGTTGTCCGGGTGGAACTCGTCCGGGAACGGCCCGCCCCAGATGCTCTCCCCGCCCTTGCCCGTGCCCAGAGGATCCCCGCCCTGGACCATGAACCCCTTGATATTTCGGTGGAACTTGGTCCCATCATAGTAGCCGCTGCACGTTCCGAACGACGGGGAGAGAGAGGGCTCGTTCGTTTATTTTGCCTACTCCGGTGTGGAATCTTCTCTTTGCTGCCCGCCTATTATGATCTACGGTAACGGTTCCCCCCACCTAGTGAGTGTCTCCCCCCGAAACCTTCCCAGCCCAGTGTAGGGTAAAATAGGCCCGCTCACGCGTCCCCAGCCAGTTCCCTTCATTCCTTCATCAGAGTACCGGAGCGGAAAAAGCTTCGGGGTTCAGGTTCCAGCCAACTGCTGCCGGTGTCGTATGCATGTAGGTTCGAGTACAAGCTTCCACCACACCACCGACGAGAAAGTACCTTCGATGTCCCAGCTTCCCGCCCATCGACAACTGTTCAGTGGTCGATGGGCGGGAAGCTGGGACATCGGAGAGACTACTGTACAACGTCGGTGGTGGGCTGGACGCTCGAACTCGAAGCTACGGCACCGGCAGCGGTGGACTGGAATCTCAGCCGGGAAGCTACTTCCGCTCCTTTGTCGTGAGAGAAGTAACCAGAAACGGGTATACCCGGGTGGATTATCACCATTTCAGGGTACACTTGGAAATCAACACGACACCAATCTCCGACAGCATCCGCCGTAGATCGCGGCGAAACCAATAAACCACTGTCTGTCCTGTGTCCTGTGCCTCGGAAGCATGATGCACGAGGCAGGTCGTGCCCGTTTTTCTCTCTCTCTGTGCCTCTCTCTCTCTCTGTGCTTTTACTGATCAGCACCACACCGAACGAACTCGCGCTCAAGCGAGTCCGGCCCTCTGTCGAGAGTATCCTATGGAGGCGGTGCCCATCAACGAGCGAGCGTTGTTGGTGGTTTGGTTGTGGGTATGTATGTGCGGTACACGGTATGTGCGGTACATGTTTTTTTCTGCGGGTTTTATGCTAGAGCGTCGGGCGCCGGGATTATATGACCATTTCTGGGTACAAAATCGACCTCTTCCGGTTACCAGCAACCAATATCGGTCACACCAGAGGGTCCTAATGCCAGCGGTAGTTGTACCCGATGGAGGTTTCTTCCGAAATGGGTACGACGGTTTTTCGGCCAATCAGCTGACAGCCTGGGGCTGCAAGCGTGTTGATTTCTAAGTGTACCCTAAAGTGGTGATAAAGTACCCGGGTATACCCGTTTCTGGTTATTGGTCTTGTTGTGACGGAAGAACCGCTGTCGATGGGCGGGAAGCCGGACATCGAGGAGACTACACCGTCGGTGGTGGGCTGGACGCTCGAACTCGAAGCTACATCGGCAGCGGTGGACTGGAATCTGAACCGCGAAGCTACTTCGCTCCTGTGTTCTGAAGGAAGCACCGCTGTCGATGGGCGGGAAGCCGGGCATCGAGGAGACTACACCATCGGTGGTGAGCTGGAAGCTCGAACTCGAAGCTACGGCACCGGCAGCAGCGAAGCTACATTTTTCGCTCCCGGTACTCTGAGAAGGGAAGGTCAAGACTTTTGACATGGGCCGGAAAGGATTGCTATAATAGCCACTTGATTTACAAGACAACACAGGCGGTGGCCGCATGTACTTAACGTATTGGGGGGGCGTACATTTTGTGCCGGCCTTCGTGGACACGTCTGCTGGCGCAAGTGAATACATGTACAGTACATTTTGTGCTGGCCTTCGTGGACACGTCTGCTGGCGTAAGTGAATACATGTACAGTACACGAGCATTGACGAGCATCGTGCTGGTGCTGTTGTCCGAGCTCAAACTGAAGTGAAGTGCAATGAAAAATATCATATGGTTCTGCGAGCAGTCAGCGTTGGACCTTGTGAAATAAATTAAATGACTTCAACATGCACCGCGTTGCGCTACACAGAGGATCTTGTAGAATCCGCGCTCTACGCACACCGATCCTATTATAGGAGTGAGTGCAGCTTGGTGCAGTACTGCTGTAAGGAGGGGAAGTCGTCAAGGTACTCCCTGTGCGTTTCCGTACCTCGCGCAGTGGGCGAGGAAGTTCTCTGCTGTTCGGGGAACTGTATCGCAGAAGACCTCAATCTTGATGTCACCCAACGAGGTTTCCAGGGTGACGGACATGGCTGGAGACGAGCTATGCTATGTACTGGCGGGTAGGTGGAGCACAAACCCACAGCAACTTGCAGCAACTTGCAGCAACGACAAGAAGGGGGGGGGGTACGCGCCTCAGTGAGAGGGGGGAGGGTCACCGCCCATCAGCTGTTAATTCCGCCGCTTGACGAAAAACACGCTCTTTTTTTTTTCCCCTTTCTTTCCTTCCGAATCCCCAGCTCTCTGTTCCCCCCCCCCCCGCACACACTCGAAAAATGGCAGCTATGCAGCAGAAACTGAGGACATCGCTGGCGGCAACGCTTTCCGATACGGGGTTGCTCCGCTCGGACGGACTAATCAACGGGAAATGGGTGAAGGCCGCTTCAGGCAAACTGTTTCCAGTGAACGATCCAGGAACGGACACCAAGGTTGCATCTGTGTCTGCCTTCGGCGAGGCTGATGCAAAGCTAGCTGTCTCGGCGGCAGAGCAGAGCTTCGACGCTTGGCGCTCCAAGACTATGCAGGTGATTCCCTAGTGCGAGAGAAGTATGGGGGATCGACCCTTCGGCAGCTCCTATTGTCTGTCTGTGCCAAACGTTGCGAAAGGCAGAGAATATCCACAGGGTGCTCATGGTCGCATGTTCTATCCCCAATGACAGCGGTGCAGGGCGCCGTGCTGATCCCCCTTCAAATCTGGCTGTCGTTTTGGGGCATCGATTGCCGTACGATAAGGTCATTGATGTCGGAGGGTGTTGATCAAGCACAGCAGTACAGCTTTGCCCTGGAAGAAACTTTTGCAGGCGTGCAGTACGACATGATACGTGCGCAAACCCAGAACCAAGAAGTTGCGGCCTGTTGATTCGTCCGATCATGTATTTGTCCGCCAATCAACCCCATCCGTTTCCGGTAGGCCATCTCCTCATGTAATTGTTCAGCCGCTCATTCTATTTTGAAGAATACACAACACCAAGGAATACCGTCCGTTCCAAGGGATGTATTGCAGTGTTTTCAGCAGCGAGGGTTGAGGGACACCCGCTGGATACTGGACTTGCTTGGAGTGCTGTAGCTGAGAAATAGCAGCCCGACGTGCCTTGTTGTACAGCCTGTTGCCCTCGTACGTAGACCTTTGCACCTCCAAGCTACTTTCTCTTGTATCTCTCATGTGACTTGTCCGCGCTTCTGCTGCATTGCCTCGCGTTGCCCTGAACGACTAGGAGCGGGGGAGGTTGCTATCTCGCTGGTCTGAGTTGATCGGCGAAAATTCGAGCGACTTGGCCACCATCATGTGTCTCGAGAGCGGCAAACCGAAGGCAGAATCTAAGGGAGAAGTAAACTACGCCATGTCGTTCATAAACATGTACGCGGGGATGCAGACGAACGGGATGGTCCTACCGCAGCAGACCGACAGTCATCTCCTCATGGTCACGAAGGAGGTGGGTGACGTGTGCTTGTCCCGAGCGACAACATGGAATGCATGTTTTTCACAGCAGCAGCAGCAGCAGCTACTCTGTTCCGGAAAGGTTGACGGATACGGAGTGGACTGCTGTTGCTGCTGCTCCAATGCATCGCTGTCTGTGCACGGATATTGATATTCAATACGATTGTTCGTGTGCTCGTGGAGCGCTCGCTACTTTTTATGTTTTAAAATTCTTAACGCGATCTGCCATTCCTCCTTCGTTCCGTGTTTCTTCGTTCTCCGCAAAACATGCGTCGTCGCCGCCCCTCATGAAGCCTGTGGGCGTGTGCGCCTTGCTTACTCCGTGGAACTTCCCGGCTGCGATGTTTACTCGGAAGGCGGCTCCAGCTCTCATGGCGGGGTGCACCATCGTCCTCAAGCCAGGTTTGCTGGTGTAGAGTACCTGCGGCAAAGTTGCGTCAGTTTGCGCTTGTGTTGGGGAAGGACTGATGTTGAACACGTGTCGTCGTCGTTATTGTTGCTGTCTCACAAGCCATTGTCATCTCTGTTCTCGCTGCCTTCAAGTACCCAGACTTTAGAACAGGGATGTAGAAAGTGCGCGACAGAAAGATGTCTACTCTTGCTCAATACGCAAAACTGGCCACGTTGCACAGACAACATTATTTGTCTCTCGCGCTGTTCCCTACCCATCGTGTCTTCCCAATCCTTCTTCCGGTTCTCATTATAAAACATGCAGCGGAAGACACCCCCCTTACCGCGCTTGCCTTGGCTTGGCTGTGGGAACGAGCCGGGGGGCCCAAGGGAGTGGTGAACGTCGTGCCCACCCCGCGGGAGCTGGTGCAGGAGGTCGGCAACGTTCTCACGACCGACGAAGCCGTCAGGAAGATCTCCTTCACGGGATCCACCGCGGTGGGAAAGCACCTGCTGAAGCAGGCCGCGGGCACGGTCAAGAAAACGTCCATGGAGCTGGGGGGCAACGCGCCCTTCGTGGTGAGAGCGTGCGTACACAACACGTCTTTTTTCCCCGGTTGCTTTACTTTTTCCGCAGAAAGCCCCAGGTGGCTGTGCAATGAATGAGGGAGTGACGGCGAACTATGCCTCGGGTCACCTGTTGGAATGGAGGCAACATCGTTCTTTCTACCAAGCTTTCAAAGTGTGTTTCGGAGCAAACCTGAGCCGTGGCGCGTACCTCGATACAGCATATTGTGGTGTACTTTTCTGTGTCTTTAGGCACTTTCGGACTGCAGTACGAAGTAATGGAAGGAGAGCATGAAACCTTTACAACTCCACGAGAGAAGCTTTCGTTGTTGTTCACTAAATAGCGAGGGTACGGAGATTCTCCTCCTAATCGCACCCTCCACGTGTCCGTTGCGTGCGCAGGTGTTCGATGACGCCAACCTTGAGCTGGCTGTAAACGGTGCAATGACGGCGAAGTTCCGCTTCGGAGGCCAGGTCAGTTCTTTTGGAGCTCTACCACTAGGGACTGAGTCGCCCACCAAGCTCATCCCCAGAGTTCAACCGTAGTTTTATTGACCAGCTCGGCATAACCCCTGTCTTTTGGAGTCGTTGGCGTAGAATTCTTGCAGGGTGAAAGCAACTTCCCAGGTCGGTAACATCCCAGGCAGGTTGTTTGCAGCAGCAAGTGAGGCTGAGGGGCAAAAAGAAGGTCCGAGGTGGTAAGGGGAGCATGAGAAAATCGATACGAAGCAGCTGGCGTGGAAAGTGACTGTAGGAGAGTGATGGTGACAAGAGCCTTTTTGTGTGTGTTGGAAAAACCATATGCATATGACGAAGATCCAAAGTCTTGGCAACCGACATACAATCGTCATTCAGCAGATGGCGTTAGTCAGCAGTTCTACCTCTCTTCGTGTGTAACCCGAAGCTGTGGGGCGTCTCGTGGCCTCGCCTCCCCTCTCCCCACTGTTTGCCGAAAGGTTTGTATAGCCCCAAACAGGTTTCTGGTGCAGGAGGGAATCTACGAAGCTTTCGTCGCTAAGATGGCGGAGCAGATCAGGGCTCTTCGTGTCGGAGACGGACTCGACTCTCGCACGAACATGGGGCCCTTGATCAACCTCGCGGCGAGAGACAAGGTAGGATCGACATGCGTATCAGACAAGAAACATAAGGTTTGCGTGAGGGGGGACAAGCATGACAAAAGCCCCCCTTGGCAAGGAACGGACGTTTGTGGGCAGTCTTCCGCGCGCTTTGTTTTCGTGCATGGTCGAGAGGCCTGGTGTCGATCCGGCCTGTTCATGGGGTTGTTTTCGCCTTGTCGTTGTTGTCGAACGGCGTACCCCAGATGCGCGACGGTGAAGGTTGATTTTCTGAACCAGTTTTTGCTGCCCATGGGATCCCCTTTTAGTTCTTGTTGAGGAGGAAATGTTACGGCAGCAGTGGAAGACTGCTCACCTGGCTGCAGTTCTCAACCATCGCCGCTAACCCCCCGCAGGCGCATTTCAAGCCCGAACGGATGTTCCTGACATCATCGCACCCCCGCTAGAGGCTCACCCACAACCGTGGACGGTGTTTGCGATCATTGCAGGTGGCAGGCTTGGTGAAGGATGCCATCGACAAAGGAGCAGACGTTGTCTGCGGGGGGCAGCTCGAGCAGCACGAAATGGGGAACAACTTCTTCGCACCGACGCTGCTAGGTGGCTGCACGCTGGACATGCGCATCAGCCACGAGGAGATATTCGGGCCCGTGGTGGCCGTGATGAAGTTCAAAGACGTGGATGAGGCCCTCACCATATCCAACAGGTATTGTGTGCCTAGACTCTATAAATTCTGTCTGTCTGGCCTGTCTGTCCTTCTATCTCTCTCGCTCTCTGCCTCCAAGGGTTCACGGCGTACCTCAAAGAGCCTCGAGGTCGTCTGTGTGATGTTCCAGTTGAAAGAAGCCGGTACAATCACCGGGCAAAAGCCACGACGAACCGCTGGCATTTTGTTTGAAGGTTTTTCAACTGGTTGGAGCGTAACGAGGGTTGCGCCCTCAAAAGGCCTGTTTGAGTATGGGAGTGAACAGCTTTTCCGGCAGATTGCGACAGCAAGCACGGGGCACAGAGATTCAAAGATGAGCAGTGCGACGGCTGTTGTTTTCCGCGCGTAGGCCTTTGAGGGATCGGAACTTTCATTTTACGAGTCAAGTAGACAGTTCCAAGGATCAATCACGACTTGCCCTTCGAGGGTTGGTAGCCTATGTAAGGCTCGATTGATATCACGTGTAGCATGTTGTCTGCGTAAGGCTCGATTGATGCCACGCGTGATTTGACGGCAATCCCTGGCACACCACGAACAAGCGATGGCCACAGAGTATGTTGCTGAATACCAACATCGCTTGCAAGATGTGCGAGCACCAGGCCAGCGTTGTAGAATGTCGACCTCGTAGATGCCCACACCTGGCATGAATGCCAACTGCTCAGCTGCTGTCCCCAACATACGTATGTCCGTTGCCAAACCTCTCGCAGCTCGCGTAGCGGATTGGCCGGGTACGTGTACACGCAGGACTACTCCAGGGGGATGCGATTCGCGGGAAAACTGGAAGTCGGAATGGTACGTGCTGCGTCAACGAATCAGTGCCCGAGCTGGCTTCGTGCACGGCAGCTGTAGATCCTCCGCGAGACAGGCTGGCGTCGTCTCTGTTTCTCGCTCGAGGTGCTTTACTCCGCGTACCATCAACTGCGCCCTTTCGCAAAAAAACATTGTCCATCTAATGCCAACTCTGTGCAACATCTGCTACCACCTGCTGTGTAACTAACGATCGTCTTTGTAGGTCGGGATGAACGAAAGCTCCATCTCGAGCTGCGTGGTCCCTTTCGGGGGGGTAAAGGAGAGCGGGATGGGCAGGGAAGGGTCCGTGATGGGGATGGATGAGTTCATGGAGGTCAAATCAATCTGCCTTGGCGGAATATGAGTTTTTGACCTTTCGCACGACTGACTGCGCACGTCTGTCAACTTTGGTGTAAATTTGATGTAGCTTCGTCCCCAAGATAAGTTTCCACGTAAATTGTACCTTCCTTACTGTACTATTTAGGTATGTGCTTGTTTTCCAGGGTGGGGTGGGGCATGTGAACAGATGAATGTGTCTTGTATGCCACGGGGTGTCACCCTATTGAGGGTTGTGTATGATGAGGAAATCTGCAGAGCGGCGAGATCTTTCACTCGTGCAGAGGACAGCGAGCTCCGTTAAATACCGTGAGAGATTGCGACAATTGAGGAGAATGGTGAACGGTAGATAACCGCGAGAAAAAAAAAATTGATCGTCGGGAAGCGACACAAGAGTGGAATAGTGCCCCGGAGACTGTAGAGAAGCAGAGCGCTAGTTGCCGAGGGGTGTACATATGTTTGTCTTCGCTGCAGTGAGGCAGGCCTCCAAATAATCACGAGTACACGGATCCCACCGAACATTGCAACCGCTGCTCGCGAAACTGTCACCAAAGAAACGGCTGCGCCAGAGCGAAAGGAGGACGCCAATGGCAATGAGCATGGGGGAAATCCGAGTGAAAACAGCGGATCTCGCTCCGCAAAGGACGTCGAGAGTATGGAGGCCGAAACAAAATTGAAATAAAATTTTTCAGCCACGTTGGCGTACGGCACACAGTTGCTTAGAGCCTCGAAATATGCCCCGTCATGAACGCCACAAAACCCTTAGCCAAAATTGGCTAGTGGAAAATACGAAAACACTGCTCTGGCTTAAACACGCCACAGGGAGTGCCGCACTGACTGCTCGACTGCTGTACACTTATCAGAAACATCTGGAACCACCGTGAAATTTGTACAGGTACAATACGTCTAGCAAAATTATTTGTTCACAAGCAAGAAACACACGATTCCACAGCAGAAGTAGCACCCGAACTCGAACCATTATCACCCACCGCAAACCTTGTTGCCATAAATCAACAGCAACTACTGCTTTACACCGATTGTTGTTACCCACTAATGCAGCAAAGAGAGCATTACTCAACCAGCCTCGCCGGTATCCAGCGTACTAGGCCAGGTTACGATTTTCGCGAAGACCATTTTCAGTCAGACTCATCCTCATCACTCATCTCGAACACGTTGTGGCTTGCGGGCTTTTCCGCCCCGCCCTTGCTCCTCCCATCTACTCCTAACACCCTTCGTGTCGCCGGCTTGACACCTCCAACCCGCCCTCCTCTCACGCTGTCTCCTTTGTTCACCGTAGGCCGCGCACCGTTCGCGAGCCCCAACATGCCCGCACTCCGTCCGTGTTCACCACCCAGCTTGGCTCGAGCACCAACCTCCTCCGTGGGCGTGGAAGTTACCCCCCCCTTTGCCTTAGCAATACTGGTGGCGGGAGCGGTTTTGATACCCCCCTTTGCCACGCCAGGCAACCCGCTGGGAGCCGCGGCTCCTCTGGACGCATTGTGATTCCTCCCTGCCGCAGGTGCGGCTGCGGGAGGCGGGCTTGGGCTTGGGGAGCGTCTCCTACGCCTGTCGAATACAGATCGCGCCGTACTTCCACCGCCACTAACGCCGCCGCCACGAGCACCGCAACCCCTGGCGCTCCCCCGGCTGCCCCCTAGCGCCTGCAACTGGCACGTGGCGACGCGTGCCCCTTTCGCCTTCGCTTCTTCTCCAGGCTTGCGCCGCCCGGGGCTCTCGTTGGACGAATCCGACCAGTTATCGATATCGAAACTCGAGGAAGTTATCGCCACGTTGCTGCTCCGGCCGCTTCTAGGCCCCACGCTGCCCTCCGCAACGCTGTTCGCTGCACCACCAACAGTTGCTGCCACGGTGCTGCTTCGGCCGCTTCTTGACCCCACCCCTCCCCCCGTAATGCTGTTCGCGGCACCACTGACAGTTGCCTCCACCGCGCCACTGCGGTCGCTTCTGGGCCCTACCCCACCCCCCCCGATGCCGCTCGCCGCACCACCAACAGGCGAAGCGTCTTGGAGATCGACCTCGGATTCGTCCGACAAGAATTCGAAGACATTGCGACTTGGCTTTACCCCCCGTCCCGCTGTTAGCTCCGCGGCTGCTCCCTCTCCCGCTTGGCCGTACGAGGGCGATGAGTGCGACGACCCAGTCAGAGACCGGGAGGACGCCTTTCTCCACGTTTGGCTCCCGTAGGCACTTCGATTGCGGAAACTTTGTAGCTTTGGCCCGCTGCCGAACCAGCTCTTACTTCCCGCCGCGCTCCTACCCCGGAACCCCAGCCCTATCCGCTCCGCAATAGACGTGATCCCGGCTCGCCACGATGACGGCGACTTCTTGGTTGATCCCGGGGTTTGGCTGCGAGACGCCGGTGTTTCAGCCGATTCGCTGGTGGCGCTGGGGCTTTTGTTGGGCGTTGCTGTGGCCTGTCGCTCCTCTTCAGATGCAGCAGCTAGCGGGGGTGAGGGCGACGACGCCTCCGACGGCTTCGAACGTTTCGGAGGCGGGGTTGCGTCCTCAGAAGGTGGCTGGCAGTTTGGTCGCGCACAGGAGGGAGGGAGGGATGGCATGGGTTCACCGTACAATATATTTGTTCGGAAGTGGACTTGTGCGGGTGACGCAACCAGCTAACTCTTGCCGCAGCAACCGAAGAGCGTGCTCCGGGACTTGCGCGCGCCAAAAACGCGTTCGAACACTACTCCGGAAAAATGTAACCCATCACCAACCTGAGTCATCAACAACGACGATGCGCTCTCTTCTTGCGCCGCCGTCCGGGAACTTTTCACCGACAACGAAAAATCATTCGCATTGCCGTCGTCTCCACCTCCAGCTTCCACTCCCGACAGCCCCGATGGCAGGGTCGCCAAGATCCCGTCAACCGGCGGCATTTCTCTGTTTGATGGCGGACCCCTAGGTCTTTTTTGGCCACGTCGTTGTCGCGTGGTCGCGGCAGCGCTCACAGAAGCAGCAGCAGCAGCAGGGCAGGTGGCCACAGAAGCGGGTTCCTCGTCGGCCACTGGCTCAAACGGGTCGCCCTCTTCCGCCGGAAGCGCGTCCAGCCCCTCTAGTTCCTAAGGGAGTTCAGCGTGGAGATGAGACGCGGTGTGGAGTCGAGGATATGGGACCTTATGGGACCGAGCATTTCGAGCATGTTCCAGCATGAGGATTCTGGTACTGGACCGCAGAAGCCCTACCGGCTCTCTCTTGGCGAAGGCTGCCAAGTCTACACAGCAGAGTGGTGCGTCATCGAAAGAAGCTAGAAGGCTGTTTTTTCGGTATTCTGCAACACTTGAGAACCGTTCAAAATTCAACAGCAAAAACAGGGTTTATCAGCCCAAGGCAATAGGCTGAGTCGTGCCTGGCAGAGCGTTCGGCGCCATGCACGGATCTCATTGGACCCAAACTTTTCGCACGCCCGCCTCGGTAAGACAGAGTACAAGTACAGAGGCAAACCACGGGCTGCGATGTAGTGCACTAGTACACAGGTTGGAAGCACAAGGAGCTCACCTCCACTAGCCCCTGCACCGCCAACACTAACTCTTCAGTTAGCACGCCTGCCTGGAACTGCAGCGCCATAAAAGCCTCCAACACGCGGACAATCAGCGTTGGATCCCCGTTGGGAAGCACGGGCAACGCCAACCGCCTGCAGATTCCGATTTGGAACATTCGGGCGCATTTATCAAGCCGTGGGTGGGCGAGCACAACGGAAGCCAAAGGCCGAGGTGCGCTTGCAGCACCGCTGCTGCATGGCTTGGTGACGAACCAGAGATACAAAAACCTTGCTAGGGCAACAACAGCGCTAGGACCTTCTGGCAGTTCCTCTATTCCTCTTGTCCCTTTCCTGCCGCACCTGTTTCTTTCTTGGTCTCGAACAAGCAGTCCCAGCAAAAGAGCGCAGTGCCCTCCGAGCACGAGGTCCGTGCCTTCCGCGTGGCTCATCGACTGCTCCCCGTTGTCACCCTTCTGCGGTGTCACCGCAACAGGAGAGGGGATCGAATGCGTAGCAGGGGCAGCAGCTGACGACCCGCCGGCCATGACGCCCCCCCCATGTTGTGCTGTCCCCGAAGGGGGGCGTGATACTGGCCTCTCATCATCGTCGTTTTCCCCTGGTCGGTCGACCTCCAGCTGGTGGGCGAAATTCCGTGTGTAGAGGGTGAGAAGCTTTGCCAGAAACTCTGGAGCGAGGCACCTGCCATCCCCCACGCCAGGAAGCGGCCGCCATTGTTTCTTACTGTCTCCTGCAAAAGCTTTCCCGCCTGCCGCCCAAGCATCGGGCGGGTGTACCGCTAGGCTGGCCATGGCGGCGCAGTTGTCGGCGCTCTCCTTGAGCTCAACGCAGTTGATCAGCGCGCTCATAGCTAATACCTGGGGATCACACGTGTTGTGTAACGAGATCAATGGCAGGACCCGGGCAGAGAGGCTCTGTGTCGTGAGGCTCGGTACGAAAGGAAGCGCAAATCGGGCGCCTGTTTAGATGCAGACCCTCGCAAATCTCATGTTCAGTGCAGTGAGAGCGAAAACAGTATGTACACCGGCGACCGAGATCTCTGACACCAGAGTACGATACGACAACAAAAAGGGTTAAAAACGAGAAGTGATTCCCAAGGCCAACAAAAAGCCGAGATCAAAAGCAAACAGCATCGCCTGCTTGCTTGCCGAAAAACGAAAGTACCGCGACCAGCTGGTGGTACGAAACCTAACCTGAGCGTCGAAGTCTCCCGCTCCAGAGCCAGCTTCCTCCCCGTTCCCGTCTTCTTCCAAACCAGTCTCCGGTATAGTCTCATTAGCTTCATTCACCACGTCCCCCAGTAGGTCCACGTCCGACTTAGCACGAACAATCAACGGGCCACGGCTGCTGCCATCGCTGTCGCCCCCCTGGCTCCCACAACAGCTGCGTGCAAGGCACCGCATGAGCGCCTCGAGACCCCTCTTCGCAGCCACCTCCGCGCAGACCCTCGCGTCGTGGTGGGTGACGTTGATCAGAACGCGTAGGGCCGCGAGCAAGCACTCGTGAACCTTGGCGGCGACTTCGGTCCCCACCACGGGCTGCTGAGAGCCCGTCGGCTGTTCGTTGACCCCGTCCCCGAATATCCGATCCGGAGCTTTTCCTTTCCGATGATGACGTGCGGGCACGCCGTCGCTACAGAAAGGTTGACACTCGGCGACGACGAGCAAGAGGGCGCCGGTGAGCTCCGCGTAGGGATGGGAAGGAGATTCCCGGGGGGGGGTTGTCGCCCCCGCCGTCGCCTTGGCCGCCGCTCCGTCCCCTTCGCCGGAGCTTTCCAAAGTAGCCAGGTCCAGCAAGCGCAACGCCAAGAGGAGCTGGTGCAGCGACCTCAACGAGGCTACCGATAGATCCGCCAAGACGGCCGTCGCGCCGACCACGAGGGGTAGCAGGAAACCCGTCGGCGCCAAGCGGCTGAGCTCCGGCATGACGCCGGCGTTGTTGTTCGCGGAAGAGGCGTCGCTGCCGTTCGCTTGCCCGTTCGCCAGCGCCCCGATTACGCTGCCGGGCTCAGATTGGCTGCCCATCGAACCTTGGGTGCTGAATTCTTCGTCCACGGACTCTCCGCCGGCGGCGACGTCTGCCGCTACCCCCCCGCCCCCCTCCACGCTCTCCGGACAAGCCTGGGCGGCTACATTGAGAAGGGTGGCCAAGCCCAGGTCCGCCGCTGATACCAAATGCCTGTTGGCCATGCCCCAGGGTACAATATCCGCAATGTCTAGGAGCATGCGGGCGCGCACCATCGCGTTCGCCGAACCATGATCGTTTGGTTGGGCGCACGGCGAGGTTCGGCGGTTGGGTGCGTTGCAGGAGGTTGCGCCGCCATTTGCGGGGAGCGACCGCTTGCCACTTTCAGCTGGGCCAGCCTCACTCGATTCCGTACCGACACTTCTGAACCCACCACCGACTCTACCCGGCGCGTCTCCCTTGTCGTTGTCCTCGTCCTCGTCGCTCATGTCGAAGGGACAGGCGCCCTTGTGTCCGTTGCTCGCGACGCTTCTGCTCCTGTGCTCGTAGATTGTTCCCATGGTATCCATCAGAGTTGCAGGCTTCGGTCGTCGGGCTCCTGCATCAGACACCTCTACGCTCGATATTCTAGCCGCAGAAGCAGCAGCAGAAGCAGCAGCAGCAGCGCAAGTGCCGAGCGGATCTTCCTGACGCCCATTGCTTTCGATGAGGACTGCGAGTGTCGACACCGCGGAAGCGGAGAAGGCCTTCGCCATGGCTCGATCCTTGGAGAGGATGAACATCGCGACGGCGAGCCCGTGCACGGTGGCTTTGTCGTGGTGCTGATCTCCTCTGCCGGCTCGTAGAGATGCCAGCATGACGCTCGTTAGCTCGCTCAGGATGTCGCCGGCGTTGGAGAGCATAGCCTTACGGGTCTCTCGGGACTTGCACGCCTGTGCCAGCGCGATTGCGGACGTTCGACCGCCCTCTCCCCCCTCGCCAGCAGCGCGGGTTAGCCGGAATATGTCCTCAGCCGAACGGGCACCGCCTCCGACAGCGCCACCGAATCGCACCGCCGACTGCTGCGGCATCAACCCACTACTTCTGCAAGCCTCGCCAGCATTCAGGCGGCCGTCCACAAGCTCCGCATGCGGAGTGCTCCTGCTGGATTCTTGCTGTGATCCCACTGATGACTTACCGACTCCTGCTGTTGTTGTTCGATGGTTCGTGCCGAAAAGTCGTCTCGATCCTTGCTTGGAGCCGTAGGTTCGTTTGGGAGGAGGTCGTGCCCCTAGAGGAGAACTACCTCCTCGTCCTACGTCCATGTTTTCCCTCGGGCGGGTCGTGGGCGACAGGCAACACACAGCGGAGCGCACTGCACGGACGCTGATTCAACGGCAACACTTATAAGAGAGGCATCGCAAACCGTACCAGGCGGGAAACGTAGAGGGGTATGACGAATGCGAAAAGTACTGCTGTCTGCATATCCCCGAAGCTCAGACTTGCAGACTCGGCACGAGCTGCGAGCCTTGGTTACACTTTGATAGTAACTCCTTAGGACTAACCGATGTTGAACGTAGCAAGGCTAGGTTCTTCACGCGAGCAAGGCTAGGTTGCTCACCCCACATCTACCCTAACCCTAACCCTCACCCACGGCCAAAGCACGGCCTAGCGGCCGCGAACTGGGCGGCACGTGGCGCAGCCAGAATGCGGAACGGGGAGAGGGCGCTGGAGAGGAATCGGCCACCAGAACCAACGCCGAACAACGCCCGACCAATCAGAACGCGTTAGTCCTAAAGATCTACTATCAATTGAGCTTGCTTGCACTGCTTGCTCGATCATTCTCATCTCGTTCCTAGGAACGGCGTAGGGCGATTCTGCGTTCTTAAGTTCAGCACGCTCGCTCTATCACATGGGAGCGAAACTGGGAAACCACACACCAGTGCCACACACAGGAGCGCGCGTGGTGACCAGACTTGTTGCCCCCCCCAAGACACGCGAGGAACTCGGGAATCGACGTTTAAGACACTCGGCGCACACGGCTCGTTCTTGCTTACGAGAGAAACAACTGGTTCGACGATCTTGTTTTGGTTGGAGAGAAAAATCGATCATGGTCCACGATCCCATGCAGCAGGTAGGCGGCGGGGGATTTCATGCGACTGTTAATTAAGAGGCCACAAAGAGCATCACCATGCTGGCCGTGTGGGTAGAAGTCTGTGAGGCCAGATGATGTCGCACACCGTGTTTGTCGTTATCATACCACGCTCTGTTTGTGGGGAGGGAGTCCAGTCGGGAAAATACAGCGATACGTAGCCGGGCAGGGAGGGCATTTCGTAACCCAGCGGTGGGTTCTGTGGCTCTCACGGCGAAGATACTACCACGCCTTTTGCTATTTTGCTTGGACTCCATAGCGGATCAGCGGCCCGACTGGTACGCTCGAACGGGGGAAGGCGTAGTGCGGAGTCTGTTGCTGCTACATACGTGACCGCACCTTACGTGCCTTTTGTCGCTGTGCATTTTTTGTTTTGCGTGCCCCGAACTGACGGGGTCTTTCGTTGTACAGACGTACGGACTCAAATTACGTTCCACGAACAAACCTGCAAACCCAGAATATTTCCTTGAAGTGTAGGTAAGTGGCGGGCAATTGTTGCTTGGCTGCCCATAGTCCTATCGTCCAATATCAAGGGTTGCGATCTTACCCCGCCCCCACAAAATGCAGTCATGACATCTGTAACTCTGTGAAGTGCTGTGGATATTCTCAATTCCCAAGTCATCCCCTGGTATGCATGCAACTACAGCAAAGGTACAGCAGTAGGATGCCACTGGAGCCTTTTTTTTTTGTTTTTGGTCTTCACTTCAAATCAGCGCTCACAGCACTAGTGCCGTTTACTCCAACCCATGGTCACACAGAAGAGCCCCTCTCTACCCTCCCCTCCTGCGGTACGTTGCCTTCGATTTTTATTGCGAGGAGAGTTCAGCACTCTCTTCCCTCTGTGTACACACGAACTAGCGCTATCCACTAGACTAGACCAGGAGCGGAAGCGAGAGAAAAACTCACTTTACAAGAAAAGCTCGCTTACCCCGGGATTCGAACCCCTGACCTGACCTCTAGAAGGTGTCGAGGATAACAGCTAGACCACCGGGGCGAGCCTTGGATCAACTTGTTCAGGGCCCAGGACTCTGCTACTAGTTTTTTTCCAGCGGGTGCTGCAGTAGCCTAATGATGTACATTCACGATTATAGACCGTAAGAAGACCCAAAGGTAGAACAATCTACATGTATGACAGAGGCGATCTTTTTCACATAGACTCATGAAAAAGCCCGAAAGTCCCCGCGGGGCTCTTGTCTCTTGTCTGCTGTGATGCACGTGCTTTACGACACATCACAGCGAGCGCTGACCCAACACGAATGCAACAAATACTGCTGTATAGCACTGGCACAAAGGCGAATGCTGCCACAATAATGGAATCCGTGGGTTGGTGCAGACGCCCCATGGGGCGCCCCAATAATTTGCCGAAAGAGAACACCCCGGGGCTTTGTATTCACTCCTACAGTAAGTTTTTTTTATGTATCCAGAGTGGGGCGATCTTTTTCAAGCAAGAAGCCAAGCCCAGGGGCGGAAAGTCCCCGAGGGGGTTGTCTGTTGTGATGATGCACCTGCTCTACGACACAACATAGCGCTGACCCAACAGCAAACCAACCACAAAGAATACGACAACTGGCACATGCGCACACACACGAGAACGCTGCCGCAATGGAATGTCGTCCGTGGGTTCGTGTGCGGACTAGCGGACATCGTCCCGTAGGGCGGCCCAATAATTTGCCGGCTAAAGAACACTCCGGGGCTAACTCAAAGGTACCGTAAGAAAGAGTCGGAGAGATGACACCCCCGTGTTCGCGTTTTTTTTGTAGCGTATTTCTCCACAACTAGGAGGGTGCGAACACCAACCGATACCTCTCAGGAAAGCCCTCGACAAGATGTTTCCAAAACTACCCTTTTCGGCAGTGGTACCCCCCTGGTTGTGGAGAAATACGCTATACAAAAACGCTAACACGGGGGTGCCATCTCTCCGACTCTTACGGGTAGTGGGGCAAAAAATAAAAGAAAGAAGGGTGCCCCGGGGTGGTTAACTTCAAGTTTTTGTGCGATGCTTAACCCGGTGATATGTTTTTTTCTGGGCGTTCGCAAAGGAAATTTCGGTATGCCTGGACGTTAACGAAAGTGCGTAAATACTTTCATGCGACATGTGCTACATACGCATACGGACGGCAGTGCACCACGTCCCTGCTTTTAATACTGGCTACAAGGCTGTTTTTTTTTCTACTGCGATATCATGTTAATTATACATTACAAACAAATATATAATCGGTGGGTGATATCGTCACGTTCGACCCAACCGTAACCTTCCGCTACAGCGCGACCATGCATGACGGACACACGCCGCTATTTCGGAGGGATCAGGCGTCCGCAAGAGTCCCTTCTTTTGTTGTGTTTGGGCGCATGCCCCCTTTTCTCAATCGGACCCTTGATGGTCACTTAAACTATTTAACGCATCATCACCGCTTTGTCATGGTTCTCTTGTCGCTCGCGCAGTTTGGTGAGGCACCGGTATTTGTCAACCCACGAAGAAGAGGCGGGATAAACTACGCGGCAGATTCAGCGGAGGCCAAGTGGGCGGCAGGGGCCGCGGCTCAGCCATGCCGGGAAGACACACGCGGACGGATGAGTGTCGATCAAGAAGCAGGTGCGTTTGAGATGCGGTCACGAGGTACAAGCGTCGCGGCGTACAGCAGTATGAACATGCATGGGCAGCATGAACATTTTATCATACATGGCAGTAGGAACAACATGGCCAGTACTTTAACGCTGTTAAGGGAGGGGCAGGGGAAGGAGGTTTTCGACCGCGCGGTGTCAGTCAAGCCGATTCCGAGCCAGCTCTGCGATTGCTCATGTTAGCGGACTGATTTTTGCAGCGCACGATTCTCGAAGGAGGCGGCAGAATCTCTTGCGGGATAATTTAGGTCGTTCAGAGGCGGTGCTAGCTATACCTGCAGGGGTGATCAAATTCCTCATGAAAGTGACGAAATGATTTTTCCTTTTCACCGTATCAGTTTGACAACGGCGTGCACTTCGTGGACGTGGGTTGCAGCTGCGAGAAAATCAACATCCGTGAATCATGTTTCGGTACTTGATCCATTGCGCTGCCGAGGCTGAGCTCCGGTGTTTCTGAATAAACTCACCGTCCCCGCGTAGCCAAGGCTCGTTCAATCTGATTTGGTCGCCCATCCGACCCTGTCCCCTTGCATTCTCTCAATGGCTTGTTTCTGCCAGAGGTGGGCGCGGAAATGCTGCGGATGATGAAAATGTGGTCCTTCAATGGTGGAGCCGAAGCACACGCCGGGCAGGAGGCACCAGTGGGTCAACGCTGATGATGTCGCCGATACATGCTGGAGGCGGCCTGGCCTGGCTGGCTTCATTTAGCCGGGCTTGGACACACCACGAACAATTTTTGGATGCGAGCAGGTTTAGAGAAATTTAGCGGCGTGTCTGTATTCATGTGGTCGAGGCGACACGTTCTCCTTCCATACACGCTGCAATTTCCCCCCTCCATATGGTCTCCGACCCTGAGGCTAGAGTCAAGGCGCCGCGGTGGTTTGTTCGTTTGTCTGCATGCCTGTGTTTTTTTTTTGTGAGTGTGAGTGTGTGTGTGTCCAAGTCGAGATTGTCCTGTTGTTGCCTTTCATCTCTCCAGATGGAAGTGCGGCACCCGAAGTCGCGCATGCCATCGTCGCATTTGTACCGCTTGCGGTTTGCATATTTTAGTTGAATTTTGTATGTTTCCGGTGTTCCCCTTTGACCACTTTGGGGTGTGTGTGCACGAGTAGGCTTGACTCGCTGCCCTTGACTACGAGGGACAAGGATGGTGTGTGCTAGTCGAGCGTTTCTGAACACCAGAGCTCAACAAGAGAGTGAGTTGAGCGTGGGAGAGCTGTTGATAGGTGTAAATTATGGCTGTGGTTGTGACTTTGAAGCTCTTGGTCAGGCGGCGAGTTTTTGGTCATGGGCAGGTGGGTGTATGTGGGTGGGCGGTGGTGACGTGGATCGACGAGTTGCAGAGTTACAGAGTGGCGCCGTGTGAGAGGGTATTATCGACAATGAGGTGATTTACCTACAAGTGGTAGCCTTGGTTCCGAACCTTGGCATGCAGGCTCTTGCTGGCTTGATCGATTCTATTTTATGCTTGTACTTCGAATATATATATATTTTGTGCTTAAGGACGTGGGGAAGAAGGGCATCGTTGGAAAGGGCGCTTTTCTTATGTCTAGCAGCAATCGCATCGCCTGGCGATAGTACACGCTTGGACCTGCAACCAGTGCACGTAGAGTGTGGGGAGTGTCATATCTAAGCGTTCTCCATGGCTGGCTCGAAAGCTCCTGGCTTCGGCCGGGTCCTCCTCTTCGCCAGTTTTTTCCGTTGTACAAGAGGGGGCTTATTGTTCGATGACGATGTGCGTCTGAGTCGTCCCGGGGTGTCACCTGTCGCCGGTGGGGGGGAAGTCATGTCGTTTTATTCATGTGCCTCGCTGGCTGCAAATAACATGTTTCTTCGTGGACGGGAGGACGAGAGGCGAGAGGTAGCAGCCTACGTAGTAAACGGAAATCGCGTGGTTTGTGTTGCACCGGTCACCCCGGTGACCATGTATAGTTGGTCATCCCGAACCCCTTCTGGCAACCAGGTCGAGAGTGCGAGTGTTGGGAATGATTGTACGGCGATATATAGAGTATACACTTCGGGGAACGGGCAGAACTATCCCTGTTTTGAAAGATTAGGGCACGCGGGGCAGAGGGTTGTGTGTGTGGCCGACCGCGTGCCGGACTTGTTGTTGTACAGCAGTTGGGAGAAGCAACAGCGTACGGCACAATGGTTAGAAACTGCGAGTAGCGGCTGGCAACCGGGATGATGAGACTGGGTGCATGTTCTTGTCGCCCTGAGATGTTAGTGTGCACAAGTCATCCCAACGAAGGCATTTTATTGACACAAACGGCGGTAACTCGATGGATACAGTACTCTACTCTGTGTGCATTTTTGGGCATTTTCGTGCAGATCACACCACGAATGTCCTCTCATTGCATCGAAATCGGTGATGTCATGACCCGCCATCCAGGAGGATGAATGGGAGAGAGGGTAAACTCTGTTAATAATGTCTCCGATGGGCATCCAATACGAGGACGGTTATGGGCGTCCTTCTGTTCTTCTTCGACCGCCCTGTCGTAGTACATCCAATCGAAAAGAGGACAGACTTAAGGGCCGTTTTAATCATGGCTGTTTTTTTCCAAATTTCCAAGTTCAAAAATTTGGAAGTCATCGAAAACTTTGGAATTTGGATCTGACCAGGGCCCCAAAACTTTGGAATGGTTGCTTCTAATTTTTTGGACAGTTTCCAAAGTTATTGCCTTCGAACTCGCCGCGCAAAGTTTCCAAAATGGAAACATTCCAAATATTTGGAAAAAGAAATGCTCTGTTTAAAACGGCCCCAAACTAACCGTCTTACACAATCTACATGTAAGACTGCCCCGCAGTTGTTGAGCGGGAGATGGCAACAACTTTTCGATTTGACGTTAGATTTCCGGAGGGCGCACGTAACAAGGGGTCCCAGCCACCACTTGGCTAGCACTTCAAGTTGTACTTATCTCCCTGAGTCCCACCTCATGAACACACCTAACTACGTATGCATACGCATATCATGGAACAAGTCGTTTCTGTGATAGATTCGTTTGTGTTGCCCTCTCGGACGGACAGCTTTTCTAGAATACTCCAGCATGTTTCCCCCGACGACGCGTACCCGGGCGGGGTGGCATGCAACAACACGAGATTCTTGCCTCAGTCTTTGCACAAACCGAGCCCTTGTTCTTGAACTCCATGCCGCTAGAAAAGAACTGCCAACTCCCTGAAGAAAAACACGATACTCCTGCTGTAGATGCTAATTGCGGAACAGGCATGGGGTTGTTCCTCTCTGTCGCTGCTGTCCAAGCGCTAGTCTCTCCCCACTTCGGGAGTTCGAGTGTCAGGTTTTGACGTGCCCTGTGTGCTACAGCATCCACCGTAGCAAACGCCGTGTTCTCACAAAGAGGGAAGCTTGTCGTTGGCCCCCGTATGTACGCATACACGGGCATTTACCTTTGCTTCCAAGTGCTCTTGAGGGGTTGTCAAGGCTGCCCCCGAGGACGGACTAACACTACATGGCAATGCAAGAGGGGCGCGCTGGTTTCGTTTGCCCCCATCCCCTCCTTCCCGGCGCTATAATAGCGCTGCCGCGGTGGCAAATGCGCCGATGACACGCCCCCCCCCGCCCCCTACCCAATCCCCTCCCCACACAACGCACAAACGTGCTCCACACACTCACGCCATACATGGGCAATTCCTGCCCTCAGTCGTATCCCATCCCTCACACTCCCATCCCCTACGTTATTAAACCACCTCTTCAGAACCTAGATTTATATTTTGTACATGCCATTCCTTAGCTTACCATTGTGCTCTGGCACCGTGAGTACTTACAGCACCTCGGGGTCTTCCCCCGTCTCTAGACTGCCTAAGAGAGTCCCCGGGGCGCACACCAATCGTCGCTGGTGCAACTTCAAGGCGCCCCCCCCGCCTGCTTTCTCGCAGAAAGGAGGTAAAAGTTGTTCGCCGTGCACACTACCGCTGCTAGGACAGACAAGGTCACCAGCACGCCCGCCACCCACTTCTTGTACAGCGGGCCCGCCTGCTTCTCTCTCCTGCGAGGCAGGTGCAGCCTTATCTTGAGGTAGGCCGCACACGGCAGGGTGAAGGCCACCATGACGTTTGCCGTGCTGCCCAAGAATCCCCAGACGTCCGTCACCTGGGCAAGGAAGAGAAAGAATCGTCGGCATGCCAGTCGTGATCAGGTCATCTTAGTTGACGTGCTTTGTCGACAGAATAGCAGCAGCAGGTGTCGCAGACTATCGTTCCACTCACACCCTGTGCATGCTTCACGCTGACTGCCGGCCCGAACGATCGCAAGACACGAAGCAAGCACATGCAAAGATAAAGTTGCCTCCCTTGCGAGAATAAAAATCTATATTCTTTCATGGCTGTCGCGTCGCGGGTGGCTCAACCTACTTTTCTCCGCATGGAATATGTACTTCTAGATGGCATGGCACCCAATTGATTGAGCTGCGAAGGCCGTTCAGTCGAGGCACTTAATCGCACCGCACCAAGACTGTAAGGTGCATAGACAAACCGATCGCTCAAACAAAGGGAGCATACAAAAGGCCCGGTAAGGCTTGTTGAGTAACATACTCAAGTTGATGTTGAAAACCGCTGGCCGACTGTTGCGTCACCATCCGAACTACTTCTTTCTACAAACAGACGAGAGACAAGCAGATGGACGTTCACCATCGTAATGTTGAAGGCCAGCACGAGCTCCGAGCTCAAAATCGCCAGCGTGAGCCACGCCCTCGTCTTGTACGGAATATCTTCCTCCATGTCCGCCTGCCTCCCGGCAGCTGCCGTCAGCTCTGGCCCGCTGTTCATCGAGCCCTTCAAGGACGCGGATAGGAAAGGCCGGCAAGGCGTGATTCTTTAAAAAACAACAGGTTGTTCAGTTGTAGCGAGGACGTCATGCATGTACTCGTATTGAAATGCCGTATACTACGCTCCACCCCATCCGCAAAAAAATGAAGACAAGTGAGGGGACTTGGGTTTGCTGTCACACGCGGCCGGGGAATCCTAAACTCAAAGAATAAAAAACATACACATACCACCACGTCACATGTCGCCATCCCTATACAACTCCTCGCCGACAAGAGCAATTCGAGCACAAAACGCCATCCAATAAAGGGGAGCATAGACGCTAGACCGTCTTCGCCATGTCTTGTCCCAGAGCCGCTGCCACAAGTATCCTCTCACCAGAATGCCGGCATCGTCTAGGAAACAATCATCTGATGCCGTGTCCAGGTCGTCAGGAAGCGTGGATGGGTTGAGTAACGGTGCCTCCAGTTCCGTCGGGTCTCCAACCCTCCCGCTTCGCGGCGGGGGCCACACGGAGGTTACGCCGGGGGTTTCCAGGTTGAGGAGGGGGGCTTTGCCCCGAGTGTCGACAGCTGCGAGGTGGCCCGGCCAGCGGTTACGGCAAGTAAGGAAAATGCGAAGAGTACCAGCGGTTGTCCAAGAAACGGCAGGCAGGGAAAAGGCGAATACCAACGTTTCGTCGTAGCAACAGGGAGGGGCGAAGGGTACCAGTGGTTGTCGTAGAAACGGCGTACAGATGCGCATGGTGGTTCTTGCGTGTGGGAGCGCAATGTACCACGTCAAGTTCGAGATAGAAAAGGGCCGCCCGTACGCTCTCCGATGGCGCGTGTGTGTATGCGACCACGAGACATGATGCCACATCAACAGGAAAACAAAAAAACGACATCATCAACATACGGGTGAGCAAGTCAAACATCGAGCGTCCTAGATGCTTTAAACTGACCAATCAGAGAGCCAGCCCCTTCGCGCCCGAGACCAGTAAGAGCAACTCGCAATTCGCTCAGCCCTTAGCCGTTCTCATAAAAAGCTGCTGCGGCGAAGGACACCAAATGCAGAGAGATGCAAGGCTCACCGATCAACTCCCGCTGTGCCCGCACGAGCGTGCCTATGAGCGGCACGGTGAGAAGAGGGAAGCTGACGAGCAGGGTTACCGCTAGTCCCACCCGCCCGACGTTCATGAGCGTGTCGTCGGTGCTGAAGTTGTTGAGGATGTTGTCGCTCACGCCGCCCGTGCACACGCCGTATGTGTACCCCAGCGTCATTACCAGAGCGTAGAACGCCGTCACAAGCCCGATCGTCCAGTGCACCTTCGGAGGGACCCATCAACACAAACGGGTGGCTTGTATTGGTGGGCGATTCTACGCCTCTCGACGGCAAAAGAAAATACACAGCTCTTCCTTCTCTACCCCGGCCTCCAAGAGCAACTAGCATGCGTAGCCTCCAACTGTTGCGGCGTTGGCGCACCAGCACCGCCGGACTCGAGCACATGTCCGAATCGCTACGTACCAACGCCAAAGCCGCGGTCTCATGGCTTGTGCCGCGAAAACCTCGGGGTAAATATAAGCATCCAGGTAAACCCTACCCCTTCAACAGAGACCACGGACCCCAGGCCAGGAAAAAGGTTAGCGTTCCCGCATGCGGTACAAGATGAGGACCCCTGAGTCGGAACCACGACCGGGAAAACGATCGTGGGGAGCTGAAGCGTGCCGGAGAGACCGCCCACTCACCAAGCGGTGCAGTCGCTCCCTTGTGGGCTTGGCAAGCTCGCCGTGCACGGGCAGGACGTTGAAGTGGCACCCGAACGCGCAGATGTAGATAGGGATCGCCTGGAGGGCCCCGCTCCAGCCATCCTCCGGCCAAAGGTTCACCGCGCTGGCAGGCACGCCCACGGAAGCCGCGCACTCTCCCGCACGAAGCCCGATGAAGACTGTGAGCTGCGGAGGAAGGCGCAGACGTATGGACCAGAGTGAGAATGATGGGAGTGGTTGGTTCACGCTGGCAATCCTGACACAGCACCAGGCACCAACAGGGGCATGTGCTTGTTCATACCAATGATATGACACTCACGTTTGTGGTGGTTTTCCTTTTGCGAGGCGTTTGGAGCTTGAATACCTTCTGTCGGGGCAAATTTCTAGCGAAAAAATGCGGCAAGCAGCGACGGCTACACCGGCCAGCCATAATTTGCTTACCATACACCTATTGAAGGATAGCAAAGCTCCTTGAGACAACCGCTTTCATCGCTCTATACCGTGTCCGCGCTACATCATTCGTTCTACAAGCAGCCTTTCCTTTCGATGGTGCAGCAAGCATGATGTGCTTCATGCGTCCCATACGCAGAGGACAACGCCAAATCACGCTACTAGATGCCGAAGTCAAATGCCGTGGACGGACGCACCAGTGAGACCGCGAGGACGCTGAGGAACGACAGGTGCCGCAGTGCTGTCAGGGTGCGAAGGGTGCACGCCGGATAAATCTGAAAACCCGGCATCGCGGTTGTGGGAGAAGGGGGACACGACACGTCAGCCATGTTCATATGGAGCAGCAGCGATAAACTAATGGAACGCAGTCGTTGTATGACCCTAACCTGGCACCTGCTCTTTCCTGTCGACCTTGCTTGTGAAACACGCACACACACACACACATGTTTACATGGACACAGATTCACCAAAGCTTGATGCATCCACAGGACAGCAGTAGCAGTCGGCAGGGGAGGGCGGGGTCGGTCACTAGCAAGTGGAACTCGGACTTGCTACGTCGAGCGTACAGCACCCGCAAAGGACAGTGACATCCATCCGGTCCATGTACTGATTAAAAAGTGTCCCTGTGACGGAAAAATCACATCTGGGCAAGCCGTCTCCAACTGAGACGGACCAAGGTTGGTGAGGTGTTCAAAGACCTTTACCTTCCCCGGCATGATGAACACGATATGTGCCACAGAATCTAGTGGCGTCATTCCATTCCTCCTCATGAACCTCACGGGCATAACTTTCCGGAATCATTTCAACAAGCATGGTACGTACAATAGATACGTAGAGTTTTCAAACCTCACCAGCACGACCAGAGCTGACACCAACAGGTTTCGCGCCGGGCTGCCCAGCGTCCTGTTCAAAGCGACCTCCGCAAGAGGAGCCAGCAAATCTCGCAGAAGAATCGTGTAGCCGACTAACGGCAGGTATGTCACGCAGACCACCTTCGGAGTAGCGGGGGCAGGAGTATCGCGACGATCGATACACAGACAGGTGTCACATGCCCCCAAGTCTAAGCGGATAGACGAGTCTATTTAGACAAAGCGCAACAATCTAGTGTGTTAGCCCACTAGTACGCGATCAGTTCCTGCATGAGTGCAAGGTGTCAGCCGGAAGGGTCTTGCGGCGACCGCCACATAGGTTGTACCGCAAGCGTTTCAAGCGTAGCTGGATTCGAACTGAAGGCAGATTCGTTGCGAAGATCTATGTATACGTGTCCACGGATGACCACCACATACCCTTCCTTCCACTCACCAGTGCCATGCACAGGAGCTTGGCGCGTCTGCCGAATGCGACATCTGCAACTGATTCGTAGGACGAGCCTCCTGATCTCCGTGAGCAAGACCTATGACACAGCAGTACAATCGCCCGTAGAAAACGTTTAGGGAGGGGGGTTGCTCGCGTTGCAAATGATAAAAAATACGGAGTAGGCACATACGCGTCTCGTCCACCCAGCTAAGCGAGGCACACATGTGAACCTTCTCATCAATTTGCAGGAGGATACTTGCTGGGGTCCCCCGCCTCCAAGGGCGGTACGCTTTTCAACTATATGTCGGGATGTGGCGGAAGCAAGGAGGGGGGGGAGGTTGAACGTTTGAACCTGCTTGCATGTCTACAGCAGTAGGACAAGATGACGAGATCCCGTGTGTAGGGCAGCAACCAACTCGAACACTCGAACGACTCATCATGTTACTGTAGCTATTGACCGCGGGTGCCTTTTCAACACCCACCAACCAAGTAGCCCCGTGGGAACTATCTACACATGTACTTGTATGTACATATGATAAGAGCGGGTAATCTTGACATCTAGTTATGTATGTAGCGCTCCCCCCCCCAACCCGGGGTCTGGATGTTGAACCGTTTTATACAGCAGTACGAAGAAGTGAACAACTTTGACTTGGCACTCACACCAACGTGAAGACGGTGAAGTCGGTAGCGAAAGCCGTGAGCAAGAGCAGAATGGCGCCGAAGACGACCCCGCTCCTCCTCAAGGCGAACGGGAGCGAAAGGACACCTCCTCCTGTTCATTTGTCGGCAAACAACAAGCACACCATCAGAAACTGCTGCGGGGTGTGGTAGCTGTTGCATAGCTGTATATACATGTATGCATAGACAGGTTTCACACATTCCGAGAACAGGAGGTGGAGGTGAAGGCAAGAGGAGAGCTGCTGAGAGGAACAGCAGTGGTACGTGTAAACAGAAGAGGTGGGTGAGAGGTAGAGGGGGAGCGGAAGGGTTGGCATGTGGTGTTCAGACCTGGCGCCGACTATCCAAACCACGCTCGCTCGCTCGCCTCCGGGTACATTGACTTGGTATTCATCAAACTCCGCACAGAGCAGTCTCGTTGTCTCTTCTACTACAAGCACAAACGTGACTTTTCGAAACCGGTCCATCACTCAGGTCTCGTCGCGAAGCGACCGCGACAAAACGGGGCATCTCAATCGCATTTGGGTGTTGTGTTCGTGTTGGCCTTTGTCGCGGCAACATGGAGGTTGGTGTTGGTTTCGGATGTGAGATGTGACTGACGATTGTCTCCTCCGTCCTGATTTCAAACAAGCAAGTTGCAGTGCTGAAAGACTGCACACAACATACAACACACGGTTCTTCATATTTCTGTCCCGCAAAAAACTTCGTGGCCTACCGAGAAGAGTTCCCAGAAGCGTCGCCACAGCCCCGGTGACCGTGCCTTGGCGCTTCTCCGAGAAGAAGTGTGGGGAAAAGTGCTCGCGGTCGAGAAAACGCATAGATAAACCGTACGTGAGTCTAGGTTGTGGTGACTTGCTTGCTTGCACGCCGGGCCCGTCTGGGGTCCCCGCGATGGCTAGCCCACTATTCATATCCTCCCCGTCGGCTGTGTATTCTCATGCAGAGGGCACCGCGTGACTCTCCGCTCTCCGCAAGCCGCAGGCTGACCACGTCCAGCGTCCACCATCCCTCAGCGTGCTCTGTCAGCTTGTAGGAGCAAAAAAGCCATACCCGACAATATGGCTGACCCCAACTGGAGAGGCTCGCCGCCTCCCTCCGGTACACAGCGACCAGGAGGTGCGGCTATGAACGGAACAGGTGGCCCATTTCAGGACGGAAGGACCTCGCTCCCAGCCTCCAAGTCTGTCCCAGCCTTCTCCCCTCCAGGACAGCCGATCCAGGTAGGGAAGCCTATCCAGCCCTGCTGTAGCAATGCTTCGGGCAGTGCGCAGAGGCTTGCTGCTTGGTCCTCCGGGTTTTGCCGGCGGCAAGGACTAAGAATTTGCAAGAGCAACTTCTGTCCCAGAAAATGGACTCCCGATTCCGGCCCGTGTGTGCGTGTGATTGTGGCAGCAGGCTGTTCGGCGGGACGCGTGGTGTTTCGGGCTTGGGCACAGCCTTATTTCCACGCAGCAGCAATAGCTAGCATCAGCTTGTGTGGACGCTCCTTACCTGTTTTCGTTTCGGGCGGAAACTAAGACCGTGCAGCTGCTTGCTTCGTTTTGTCGAAGACGGTGCTTGAGCGGCTCGCTGGTCTCGGTATTGCAGTGTACTGCTGCCGTACTTGTATCTACAGCAGTAGTGGCACAAGCAAGATACGGAGCGAAGGAATGCTCGTGCTATTCCCTGCTATTCCGGTTGCTCGTTTTAAGGTTGTTGGTGTCGATTGTGCAATACACAAGGCGTTTTATCATGTTGCAGTCAGTCGCTATTCTCCGTCCATGGATCTCGCCGGTGACACGACAAAAGTGGTACCTACATGCTAGACAGAGATCGGGTTAATTCCAACCTTCTATTGTACCCATGATCGTATGCACCCCGCCAATTGTCCATTGCAAACTGTTATACTCACACTTTTACTAAAACTCATCTGCACTCTGTCCCCATGCTTCTGTTCATTTGTTCTTGTGTCATGATGCATGCCACATCTCTCTCCCTCTGACGCAGGCTGCGCTTGGGACACCTATCCCTCTTTCGTCTTCGAGTGCAAGGCTGGGGGGCCCTCCCTCGACGGCAGGTACAGCAGCCTTAACAAGGAGATCTATGTACTTCGTATGAGATTCCTTCCGCCATTTTTTGGTCATGTGCATAAGTCCTTTTGATTGGCACGCTACGCTTGTCTTTTTCCTTTCAGAGATGCTCCCGGAGTTACAGCTCTTAGATTTCCAAGTGTGGTGAAGCATAGTACAAAAGAGCTAGCGGCACAGCAGGTAATGGCGAAAAGCAATCTATTACTCCGTAGTTGCGTTGGATTTCTGGCTGCACATTCTCTTCTATCAGGCATAGTAGGCTCACAGCAGGTAATGGCGAAAAGCCATCCATTACTCCGTAGTTGCGTTGGATTTCTGGCATGCACATTATCCTCTATTAGGCATATTAATAGAAGTAGTAGGCTACGATGATGGGCGTGTCGTTTCCGCCCTCGGGCCATTATGTGGTAGTGCTTGGCAAGTCATGGCGAATGTACGTTGCCTTGCGAAACACCACCGCTTCATTTCCACATGAGTGCAAGCTCAAAGATCAACATCACCAGTTGTTGGGGGCAATTTTCCCGGCTGATATACAAAGCAATGGTTGCGGAGGTGTCGATATGATTCTGTAGGCTGACGACTACAATAGTTTTAGTTTCCCTGTGCGTCTCGAACTTCATTTTTTTCGTATTTGATCACGGGTTCCTAAGAAGAATAAGGATACCGCCGCGTGAAGCTCACCCATGTGAATGGTGCCTATATGTTGTAGCTGCAAATGAGATCTAGTTCATTGGTATGTTGCGCCGTACCAGTGTATGTTGCGGTTACTGTAGACCGCACACAAAGAAGTGGAATGTCCCGCGTAGACGGCAGGCATGGGTCCTGTTGTATCGGGTGCAAGAATGCAGTTGCCGCCGTGTGTGCTGCTGTCCTGTTGAGCTGGCTTGTGTATTCCACCACCACTATTATAGCACTACCAGCAACACTCAGCGACTCGAACCCTCTTCGTATCGTCCCTATTTTGCAGACTTCGCACACCGGATGTATCGTCGGTAGCAGAACGCTGGGTGCGCGGTTCAAGCTATAATGTATAACGGTAACGCATGTTGATAACTACCACGTCCCGCACTCACGACAACTATCCGCTCAGGCCTCGGTCCGCCGTCATCGGGGTCTAGCCCCTTTTCGGCCAGCAGCAGCACCGGGATGCCCCCCCCTGCCCGAAGGGTGAGCTCGCCCCCCCTAGCGGGGCCCCCAAGCTACGGCTCGGGGTCGTCGGGATACGGCGGTGCCCCCAATGCCAACGCCGCCATCGCGGCGTCGGGGATGCGGCTAGGCGGTCCTCCGACCTCGAGCAACGGGCCGCCTGCGATATCGCGGAAGTTCTCTCCGCCGCCGCCGCCGCTGTCGTCTCAGAGCGTCTTCGCTAAGGTGATGATAAAGTACACATATCCCGGCGTGTGGCCGCAGTGGTTGCTTGCAGGTGTCCTTTGTGCAGGATACTTGTGAGGGGGGAAGGGAAGAAGAGTTGGAGTTGGGGCGTGGGACGGGGTGCGTTGAGGCGGGGCGCGTTCGTTTCGCTTTCTGTGACGTGTTCCCACGGCTTTGTTTCCCCGGAAGTGTGTGGCGATGCCTTGCACCAGCAAACTGAACCTGCCCGCAAAACATGGCACAATGCAGCAGCAGCGACTACATGCCCCCATCTGAAGGGATGTTATCCTTCCCTTCCGAACTCGTGCTGCTCTTGCGGCGCACCCTTTTTTTGACGCCCAGCCATCAATGACCGCGCCGCCAACCGGGCCACCCCGAAGCTGGTCAGGCCACGGCAACGGTAACGGTAACGGTACTGCTGGTGTATTTCCGCCGGGTGGGGTTGGCGCAAACGGGCAGCAGCAGCAGGGGCAGAAGCTTGCTTACGGCGCTCCTCCGAGTTTCGCGCCGCCAATGGGCCCGCCCAGCTCCGGTAACGGTGTTGGTCCAGGGCCCAGCGGGGGGCCAGGCGGGTACGGAGGGGCGTCGATGGCTCGGGTCGCGTCGATGCCTGCCGGGGTGTACGGCGGTGGTCAAGGGGCAGCGCCTCCGATGAGTGCTCCTGGGCAGGTGAGGGGGGTGTGTTGTAGCGTCCAGAGGGCGTGTGTTTTGGGCTTTTTGGCGTTCGAAGGAGGGTAACTGGGGTGGGCATTTTACTGAGCCCAAAGTGAGGAAGGGGGTTGGGGTTTTCAGTGGGCAGTTTGTCGTGGTGTGCATGCCGTCTTAGGAATGAAAAATCTCGTGCCTGAATCTCGTGCAACACGACACGCCCACCTATGCCTTTTCTTATTGCGTTCAACCTCACCCTGCGCCTGCTGCATGCTGTTGTCGTGCTCGTGTGGTGTGGTGTGGTGTGCTTGCCCGCGTGCAGTACCAAGGCGGTTACTCGAACGGAGGGATGCCTGCTTCGGCGACAGCCCCCCGTCCCAAGATCAATCCGGAACAGGTGCGCGATGTTGTACCGTGTCACCTTCAACGGTTTGACGTGTTGCTGCTGGGGTGGCTCTTGAAAGTGCGCTGTATGGTGCGCCTTCTCCTGTATGTAATACTAGTTCATGCCAACTACAGGACAGTAGCTTTGGGGGACTCTGGGAGGCTGGGTGCTGCAAAAGACGGCCATGTAGTTGAAGGGGGCGAAAGCTATCCGAAGAATAAGGTCGAAAACGTTTCATCAGTCAATGGTCGACACCGGGGGGGGGGGGAGGGCTGTAGACAGTAGCTTACACTACTTAACAAAAACTGGCATCAATTTTGGCTACAGGTTCTCGAACGGCAGTTGTCAACTCATTTTCATGGCAACCTTAGTAAAAATGTACAGACCGTCCTTGTAGATGGTTACAGCAGACTGGTATGGTACGGGTGGATCATT